CGGTTGTGTAAGTGGTGACGTTCTTGATAGGCAAACGCCTTCTGAATTTGAAACAAAACACAAGTCCAGTAAACGTCCTAAGGAGTTCTTAACATGGTTCACTTGGGATAGCGCAATGTCAAGCAAGCCGTCAATAAAGTCATGCTGCGCTAAAGGAAGTAAAATGTTAGAGTTTTCGTCAGGGGACCATGTCGCACTAGGTATATTAAAATCAACTAATACAATTAACTGATCTCGATCCGACAGTTTTTTGGAAATGGACTGAATAACGGAAAGGTGATTTGCGTAAATAGGGAACTCAGATGATGGTGGGATATATGAACAAGTAATATATACAAAACTACCGGGAAACGATAATTTTATACCTAGGAATTCGATGTCATAAAATTCTTCGAAAGTTAGTAATTCAGACGAAAAGGTGGAGTCGACAGCAATCAGGACTCCACCTCCCCGTCTGGTCTGACGATCAAGCCTATAAATTGTGTACTTACCCGGGAGAATTTCGGAGCAAAGAATATCCGGCCTTAACCAGGTCTCTGTACATACCATATTATTATATGGGAAAGAAAAACTATCCGAATACAATTTAGTCAGCTTACTAAGTAAGCCTCTTGTATTCTGATAGCAAAGAAGAAAAGAGGAGGCTAGTTTTTTGGGACAGAAGAGGATGTGGAGGGCGCTGGGGATGGTTCTTTAATGTTGTTTTCCATTTCCCCTGAACTATTCTTTTTTCTCTTAGCTTTTGCGTCCGTCTGTTTCAGCCGTTTGCGATCTCAGTTTAAAAGCTAGAGCTAGTTTAAAACTTTTTCAATCGTATTCTTTTTATGTGTACGCATACGAAGTTTGAAAACTGCGGAGATGGGGCGTTCATATTATATCATCATATCATACAGCTGTCATGGGAACGATCAGGTTCAAATTTAAAATTTAATCTAAATCGGTTGACTATATCCCATAGTTGATCCCATAGCTGATCATAACTGATCATGTGCAAAAATCCCTTGAGTTTTGATAAAAATCGGTTGACGCATATATACCGAAATTTCGCGCAGGCTAAACTATAGTTTCTTGAAAGTTTTAAAAATTAAAATGTTCGCTCCTGAGAAGGTATTAAAACTTCGGCTTGCTGAAGCTAGCCTCCATTCTCGTTATATCCTTGCTGAGGGTATTATAATTTCAGTCAAAAGTTTGCAACGCAGTGAAGGAGACATTTCGGAACGAGCCGGATACGACGACTATATCATATTGCTGCCATATAACTGAATGATCGGAAATGCCATAGCTTAATGTTAGGAAGTTGGTATTTTTATGAGTATTAAGAATGCATCATATGAATAATTTCGAAGAATATAATTTACAGAATATTCTGCAAGGGTATATCAACTTCGGCTCCGCCCAAAAATAGCTTTCTTTTCTTGTTTTTATTTATATTTCCCCTTGTTTCTATGGCAACTATATGATATAGTCGTTCGACTTTTATAAAATTTAACGAGGACGGAAGCTAACTTCGGCAAGCCGAAGTTTTAATACCCTTGCAGACTTTGACGAAATTGCTAAAAGTGAAAAAGTAGCGAAAGGAATAAGGTATACATAAGTAAACTAGATTTGCATCGTTTCAAGTCAATTGCTTTTATACTGCAAAAATGTCATATACAAATAGAAAACAAGAAAGGAAAGCTAACTTCGGGCGGAGCCGAAGTTGATATACCCTTGCAGAATATTATGTACATTATATTCTCCAAAATTATTCATATGATGCATTCTTAATACTCATAAAAAATCCCAACTTCCTAACTTTAAAAACACCAAAGTTATGGCATTTCCAATCGTTCAGTTAAATGGCAGCTATAGGATATAGTCGGCCGATCCTTATGAAATTTGGTAGGTCGGATTGATTAACCAAATATAAAACCCATAGAAAATCCCAGCTTCCTAACTTTACAAACACCAAAGTTATGGTATTTCCAATCGTTCAGTTAAATGGCAGCTATAGGATATAGTCGGCCGATCCTTATGAAATTTGGTAGGTCGGATTGATTAACCAAATATAAAACCCATAGAAAATCCCAGCTTCCTAACTTTACAAACACCAAAGTTATGGCATTTCCGATCAATCAGTTATATGGCAGCTATAGGATATAGTCGGCCGATCCTTATGAAATTTGGTAGGTCGGATTGATTGGCCAAATATAACACGCATAGAAAATCCCAACTTCCTAACTTTACAAACAGCAAAGTTATGGCATTTCCGATCAATCAGTTATATGGCAGCTATAGGATATAGTCGGCCGATCTCGGCCGTTCCGACTTATATACTGCGTGCAAAGGAAAGAAGGGTGTGTGCAAAGTTTCAATTCGATAGCTTTAAAACTGAGAGACTAGTTTGCGTAGAAACAGACAGACGGACAGACAGACGGACAGACAGACGGACAGACGGACAGACGGACATGGCTATATCAACTCAGGAGGTGATCCTGATCAAGAATATATATACTTTATAGGGTCGGAGATGTCTCCTTCACTGCGTTGCACACTTTTGACCAAAATTATAATACCCTCTGCAAGGGTATAAAAAGGGATACTTTCGCAGCCTTTAACAATTTTTCCTATCTCCTTCCTATAGACTTCCGAGCGGCAAGCGCTTTTACCCTAATCAAGATATGCGTAAATAAATAAGAATTGTAAAATTTTATGTTAGTAGCTTACACACTGCGCGAAATATTCTGATAATCATCAAATTTGGACCGATTTCACCCTATTGTTCCTATGGGAGCTATAGGATATAGACGTCCGATCGGCACGCGCTTTCACCTTGATCAATGTATGCATAAAACAAGAAAGGAAATCTAACTTCGGGCGGAGCCGAAGTTGATATACCCTTGCAGAATACTCTGTAAATTATATTCTCCAAAATTATTCATATGATGCATTCTTAATACTCATAAAAAATCCCAACTTCCTAACTTTAAAAACACCAAAGTTATGGCATTTCCAATCGTTCAGTTATATGGCAGCTATAGGATATAGTCGGCCGATCCTTATGAAGTTTAGTGGGTCGGATTGATTGGCCAAAAATAAAACCCATAGAAAATCCCAACTTCCTAACTTAACAAACACCAAAGTTATGGCATTTCCGATCAATCAGTTATATGGCAGCTATAGGATATAGTCGGCCGATCCTTATGAAATTCGGCATGTCGGATTGATTAGCCAAATATAAAACCCATAGAAAATCCCAACATTCTAACTTTACAAACACCAAGGTTATGGCATTTCCGATCAATCAGTTATATGGAAGCTATAGGATATAGTCGGCCGATCCTTATGAAATTCGGCATGTCGGATTGATTAGCCAAATACAAAACCCATAGAAAATCCCAACTTCCTAACTTTACAAACACCAAAGTAATGGCATTTCCGATCGTTCAGTTATATGGCAGCTATAGGATATAGTCGGCCGATCCCGGCCGTTCCGACTTATATACTGCGTGCAAAGGAAAGAAGGGTGTGTGCAAAGTTTCAATTCGATATCTTTAAAACTGAGAGACTAGTTCGCGTAGAAACAGACAGACGGACAGACAGACGGACAGACAGACGGACAGACAGACGGACAGACGGACAGACGGACAGACGGACATGGCTATATCAACTCAGGAGGTGATCCTGATCAAGAATATATATACTTTATAGGGTCGGAGATGTCTCCTTCACTGCGTTGCACACTTTTGACCAAAATTATAATACCCTCTGCAAGGGTATAAAAATAGGATTTGTCAATAGCTTGTATACTGCGTGAAATATCCTAAAAATCATTAAATTTTAACCGATTTTACCCTTTTGTTCCTATGGGAGCTATAGGATATAGACGTCCGATCGTCACGCGCTTTTACTCTGATCAAGGTACGCATAAAAAAATAAGATTTGGAAAGATTTATGTCAATAGCTTTTACACTGCGCGAAATATCTTCCATTCTTGCAGGCGGTTTTCAAACTTGATTTGCGTACACTTGTTTTAGGACGAATGTGAAAGTTTCAGATCGCTAGCTTTTAAACTGAGCTCGCAAACGGTATTGAAACAGACGGACAGACGGACGGACGGACAGACGGACAGACGGACAGACGGACATGGCTATATCGACTCCCCTATTGATCCTGATCAAGAATATATATACTTTATAGGGTCGGAAACGTCTCCTTCACTGCGTTACAAACTTCTGACCAAAATTATAATACCCTCTGCAAGGGTATAAAAACGTATTTTTGAAATAACAATGATATGCGTATATATTGAAAATCATCGAAATTGTCGAGTTTCCCATTAATTTTCGGATCTTTGTTTTTGCAGCTATATGATTTCCAATTAAAACTGTATTTTTGAAGTGGTAAAAATTACTATATCGGAGTATGTTATATGTTTAAAAACCACGATGCAATAATTTTTTTTGCAATTGATTGTATGGTTGTCATTAATTTAAAGTTGGTATAGTATTTAAACGGTTGATTCAGTACAATAGGCCCACTGGTGTCTTGTAGGCATCCCGAAAGGGCAACCGATTTAACCTTAAGACTATTGAAATGGTGTCTTAGGTGCTGGCATAGTTTAGAATAGTACAAGCACCAGATGTGAAGATTCTTTGAAACAGTGTTTAGAAATTTAAAAACTTCAAACATGAATCTATACATTTTATAAAAACTTATATCGTCTTATCTTACTAGAAATGCTCTGAAAATAACAACCGAAGGCCTTTCGTAAATAAGAACTTTACTGCCTTTTAATGTGTACTTTCAATAACTTGTTTATCAAAGAAATATATCATGTTCCAATGTAGTTCGCGAAGAGAGTAGTTTACGTTCCAGCTCACTTTCTCACAGTGCGCATGATCGAGCCTAGGGGTGGGGTATATGGCTTATGGTGCAGTACCTGCCTGTGGCAACCCTTAGCTCGGTGGTGGTGCGTTGTGGCCGTTCATTTCATTTCAGTTCAGTTCCGTTCTGTTTGGTTTGGTTCCGTTCAGTTCGAATTGGGTATAATTCGCGTGAGGCTGAGACTTCATGAAACGCAGCGGTCACATAACAAACTTTCGGAAAAACCACCCACATGTGTGTACATGTATGTACACACGTACAGGCGTAGAGAATTTTCTAGCCGAAGGTTTCAGTTGTGAAAACAAACGAGCCGTTGTGACTGGACCTCTAGGTTTTCATCATCCAGTCAAAAGCTGCCTTATTTTTAAAAATATATCCTGACTAGTTAGAGTGTCGAGTGTCGAATTATTTATTTTGCTTTACCTGAATTGAATTCGAGATATTCAAACATTTCAGTCAAAGAAGCGAACGAAATTATATTTGATTAACTTTCGAGTGGTTTGATTTTTAATAGTGCTTTGTTAAAAATTGTTTCGATATTCAAATAGTGGGACGAAGTCCATTTTCTAAAGATGTAGCTTAAAGGCTATTCAGATCTTAGGTAAATACTTTCAAAAAATCGTGCTTAGCTTAATAATAAAGGAATAACCATTTAAGCCAATTTGTTCACACGTTAATATGAGGAAAGTGCAAGCCACCCCTACCCTTTACCCCATGCGTGTGTGTGTGAGTACCAGAATATACTTACGTGTATCTATGTTTGTGTATTTATGAAGCAACCCTTAAGGTCGGCGACGATGGTAACGATGAAAAGTGTTCGGTGCAATTAATAACAAAAAATATATTTAAATGTAGCCTATTTTTAACAGCCAGAACTAAAATATTTAAGATGCTTCTTCTTAAAGGACAGTAATAGATAACATGTTTTTATTCTCAACTATTTTGGGGATATCTTAGTAATAGTATGGTGATAAAACTAATAGAAGTTATATAAAAAAATAAAATTAACATAATTCAATTTAATTTTGTTCTTTGCAGATCCATTCGAATGTTAACGCAACTCAAGCTACATCTCAAAAGGAATGGACTCTATAAATGAGATAATTGACCATCAGACATTCAGCCAAGAGCTAGTGGAAGATGCGACCGAGTTCATCACTGTTGGGCACCACCCGGAGAGTCAGTCCCAGTGCCACCATCAACAACAGGAAGAAGGGCCTGATAACGGCGAGGATCTGGCCATGTCCATGCAAACTATGATTGCGTGCTCGAGGGCAGACGGTTCGAGTGGGGAGAAAAAGAACCGCTCCTTAAATGGATCTGGGCCCGGATCGGAGTCCGATTCTGTTGTCATGGTTATTGACGCAATGGGCCACAGCAATAGGCAGACATCATATCAACTCGTGCCTCAGCAGCTTCAGCTGCAGCAAAAAACAATGCCATTGTCATTTGGACTTCTCCATCAGGACCGGCACCGACATCATCTGTGCCAGGAGCGCATGGTCAATAGCAGCCCAGTGGACTTTGTGGCGTCAGACATCAGCTTGGACAGCCTGACAGTGGACTCAATTTCACAGGCGGTCCTCCCCCAAGAAATAGGGGATGGGGAGAAACAGAAGCTTATCATTGTCCAAGACAAAAGTCTAGATCAAGCCAATAAGCGCATTCGAATGCACGTGGATGTTGCAAGCGTAAACGCAGATCTTGGAGTGGACGTGGATGATATGGATGAAATTTCTTCTGACGGTGTCGGCTGTGACGACGAAGGGGTTACTCTAAACCAGCACCACCAGCATCTCTTGGAGGAGCAGCAGCAATACGGCCTAACAAGTCATCATCCGCATCACCAAGCTCATGCCCAGACTCTCCATGGCTTGCACCATAGGTCGGCTCAGCTGGAAATGGGCCTTGGAGGACTGCATGGCGAGGTCCTTTCGGTTATCGTTCATTCGCAGGACAGCGACAAAGAAGTGGATGGCGAAGGAGGTGCGGACGGAGAAGGAGATGCTGAGGATGAAGACGATGATGATCGAGATTCGCGTAGTCGTGGGCAGCTGCTCAGCCACAGTTCGTACCAGACGCTAACTTCGGTCAATGATCGACTTTCACCGCCTGGCTTTAGACAAACATCATATGCCACGCTGACCCCCATCCAACCACTTCCGCCTATATCAACGATGTCCGAAAAGTTCGCCTACTCTGGCCACATCTCTGGAGGAGACAGCGGCGATACAGACGTTAATGTTGGCGAGGGAGGAGGAGGAGTGGCTGAGGGCAGCGGAGTTACCCATCAGTCCGCCGACGCGGTTGGGACTGGTTCGGGCTCTGTTGGTAACGTGGCTTCCTCTGGGTGCAGCAGTACCGATTGCAGTTCTTTCTCTGCTCTTACCATGCCCTTGGCAAGTGGGCACTTAGGTCTGGGCGTGTTAGGTGGTGCCCAATCGCCCTATTCACCCTATGAAAAGCTGGCCTCGATGATTTCACCTCCGCCCAATAACTACCTAGTCGCGTGCGATCTGCACCCCTCCGTGTCGGGACGTGTTTCAAACTCATCTCAACAGCATCTAAGCCATAACGGTCACAAAAAGGACTCTACGACACCTCACGGACATACCGATGTCAACGGAGGGAAATTTGGTTACTCTGGCCATATATCTGGAGGAGAAAGCGGAGACACAGATGTTACCGGCGAAAAGTTTTCCTATCCCGACCACATCTCTGGAGGAGATAGCGGCGACGCAGATGTCAATGGAGAGAAATTCGGCTATTCTGCCCATATATCAGGGGGAGATAGCGGTCCTGATGTCAACGGAGGAACGTATGTATACTAATAAAATAGCGCAATTATTTGTTAAAGGTACAAATGATTCCAAAATATCACCAGCGACTTATTACTTTAATTAAAACCCTACCTTTTTCATTTACTCAGTTTGACAGGCAGGTGTTAAAGGTCGGTGTATTGTTATAGATGTTATGCGAACTAGGATTCAAAATTATAAAATGTATCGTACCCCGCAGCTATTATTTGCGCCAGAAAAGAAGACATGTTCGACCTTATCTTTATATATCAATCAAAAACAACTCTTAACAAGAAAAGAAGCAAACTTCGGCAAGCCGAAGTTTATATACAGTTGATACAAATCGACTATCGAAATGATATTGTTGTCCGATTTTAATTTAATAAAAACCGTAAATAGATAATATTTAAATATTACCATATCCCAAAGAAGATAATGTAACAACAATGTAACAGGCTAAGTCGATTTTGCTATACATTTTTCGATCGTTCCTATGGCAGCTATATTACATTACAATGGTGAGGCTGTAATATTAAGAACTTGTGTTGTAACTGTTAGCGCAAACTATCCAATCTCTAAACAAAATTTGTCTGCTCGCCCTTAATTATGATAATTTATTCCGTCAGCCTTAGTATTTACGTAAGGAGTAACAAAGTCACATGTCCTAGCATCCTTTCTAACAAGCTTTCTGAAGAAAAATAGGCACAATTTATTTTTAAAGTCACAGTAAAATAGATAAATCATAATTTGTGAACCTTTTTTTAAAAATGAAACCATTTAATTCTTTTTTGCGACATTTATCATTAAAACAAAAATATATACATATACTATACATTTTTTTAAAACGTTTCACAAATTAATATTTTTTTGGCTGTGATTTTTAAAAATACACATATTTTCTGTTCTGACTAACTTAAAGTAGGAAGGACTAGCATGAGGAAGGAACGAAAAATATCGTAAAATATGCTAACCACTCTGAATAAATTTATTTAGTGAATAGATTAAAAAAATTTATTTTATTTAGTATTACTGAACTACTACAGCTGATGGGCCAAAGGCGTAGTTGTTATTAATACTTAGGTGCGATTAGGTCTGCAGGAAAAAAGAAGTTGCGATTGTGGTGCACTGTGCTATTTATGTATTACAATATCAAATGTTTTTTAAGGAACTGGCTTCAAATACATCCTGACCGTGAGGTACGACTTCATATGCCGACTGAACTGGAGGCAAGGTTCCACATGCCCTCAGATCGAAGGCTGCGGCTCAACATGCCGCCTGAGCGGGGGCAGCTGAACCGAAATCTTTCTCAAACCGCAGCTCCCATTTGCCCCCCGGATTGGAAGCCAGATGATTGGAAGAATGGAGACGGAACCATCGTTAGTCTGTCCTCCGATCTGCCCGTAGTCGTGTCCCTCACTCCAACCCCGCCTCCTATAACAGACGACTCGGCGGGAACCGGACTCAAGTTGAGTGAGCGACTGTCTCCGGGGCAGAGACCACAGTATTTCCTGGACAAAGGCCAAGAGGGCAGCAGTGTCGCTCCAGATCAGTGCAGTCCAAGCATCCACGCCATTCACCAGCAGCCCCAATCCGTCCTGCTGAACGGATTCCAAGGTGCCACCCAGCAGGCCAAAATATCGGTCTCCGCCTCGCCAAAGGCGTCGGTGTCAGCTGGAGGAGGGGGACTAAGCCGCGCTGGGAGTGCCAGTGACATGGAGGAGATCAACACAAAGGATCTAGCCCAGCGCATCTCGGCAGAGCTCAAGAGATACAGTATTCCACAGGCGATCTTCGCGCAGCGGGTCCTCTGTCGCTCGCAGGGCACCTTGTCCGACCTGCTGCGTAACCCGAAACCGTGGTCCAAGCTAAAGTCCGGCCGCGAGACCTTTCGCAGGATGTACAAGTGGCTCCAGGAGCCCGAGTTCCAGCGCATGTCTGCTCTGCGGATGGCCGCTGCCCAAATCCCCCAGCGCACGCCTTTATGTGCTGGGACGCCGCTTGGGTCAGCAGCAGGATCAAATAGTTCCACGGCGACCATGCCGACGGACTTGGACCTACATGTTGGGCCAACGATGACCCCAAGTGGTGAGTGCGATTCCAGATTCCACTACATCATATGGGTTTTTTACGTTGCATTGGATTGGGTAGACTTTTCAAAACTTTGGCTGGCATTATTTATTTAAGATTTCGCCATGGGTTAACTTAAAACTAAAGCTCAGAAGGTCAGTTGTATGTGTTCATGTCAACCATACAATTCCATACCTCAGCCTATCAAAACCATTTTTACATTTATCTGAGTCATTGTTGAGAGTGAAAGCATAGAGTAAGAATCTTTATAGAGGTTTCATTTGCTCTGCCCGCATTTATGCCAAAGCTCTGCTGAGAGCCATATTTGAAGCTAACTTCGATTTCTCACCACTCCTAGCATGTGGGAAGCACAAGCAATAGTATGGGGAGTTCTCGCACCAATCCTTAGGAATAAGAGCAATAAGTATTCACCACGGAATTCGATTCCAGTTCGATCGAACAAATGAAAAACTCTCTTTTTTTCCGTTTTCCCCTACGTGGCATCACTGGCAAAGTCACTTGAGAGCGCGGGCAGAGTAAATGACGCCTCTTTACAGATTCTTACTCTATGCCTCTATATAGATTCTTACTCTATGTCTATGGTGAAAGGGAGGTGAACAGTCAGTTTGCGGTTTACAGTTTTTTGAAATATGCAAATATTATATTTTGTTTCCATATTTAATTGAATATATTTTAATATCTGAATTATTTATTTCACATTTAAACCAAATTAAACTTTAACATAAAATGCACATAAAACAATCCTTTTTATCCAAAATGTGCACATTAGCTCAAATATTTGAACATAAATTCATACAATTTAATATGCACTGTATTTTTTGTTTTTGGATTCAAGAGCCAACCATTTATTTTTACTTTTTCATTTTATTATCAATGTACCGCAACAAATGGAATATAAACTATAATTTTTTTTTTTTTAATTTTATGCATGATTCTAAAAGTGTGTGAACCAATTTTTGTTTTTAATTCTTTATAATGGAATTCATTCCAAAGACGAACAGCTTCTGCTAATTTTGTATGGAGAAAACTTCACACATTAATGGTGCGATGCAATTAAAGACAAAAATAGTGCGAGTTTCTTCTTGTACCCTTGCAGAGGGTATTATAATTTCAGTAAAAAGTTTGCAACGCAGTGAAGGAAACATTTCCGACCCTATAAAGTATATATATTCTGGATCAGCCCTCTCACCAGGAGAGTCGATCTAGCCATGTCTGTCTGTCCGTCCGTCTGTCCGTCCGTCTGTCCGTTTCTACGCAAACTAGTCCCTAAGTTTTATGGCTTTCTACATAAAACTTTCCCAAAAGTTGTCTTTCTAAGTCGGAACGAGCCAGATCGGTCGACTATATCTTATAGCTCCCATAGGAACAATCGGAAAAATAAATTCAAAAAAATTATTACTTTTTTGTTTTTAATTTTTTTTGTTCTTTGAGACTTGGTAATATTTAAATATTATAAAATTACGGTTTTGATTAAATTAAAATCGGAAAACAAAATCATATAGCTGCCATAGAAACGATGGCAAAATGCAGCGCAAAGTTGACACAGCTTCTTGTTATACCCGTTACTCGTAGAGTAAAAGGGTATATTGTATTCGTGCAAAAGTATGTAACAGGTAGAAGGAAGCGTTTCCGACCCTATAAAGTATATATATTATTGTTCAGGATTACTAGCCGAGTCGATCTAGCCATGTCCGTCTGTCCGTCTCTCCGTCTGTCCGTCTGTCTGTCCGTCTGTCTGTCTGTCCGTATGAACGCTGAGATCTCGGAAACTATAAAAGCTAGAAGATTGGCATTTTGCATGTAGATTTTAGGAGTTCCTACGCAGCGCAAGTTTGTTTCAAAATGGTGCCACGCCCCCTCTGACGCCCACAAGCCACAAGCTGTGGCCACAGTTTTAATGCTATTATGAACATTTTAATTGATATGTATTTGTTTCGTCAATACCTATCGATTGGCCAAATAAAAGTTTGCCACGCCCACTCTAACGCCCAAAAACCCATTAAACGCTTAAGCCTGGCTAGCGCCTACATTTCCGCCTTTCATGGCCCGTAGCGCCATCTAACGGATGACTTTGGTACAGCTGGCCAAGGTGCTAATTCGAGCGGCGGAAAACATACCAGAAGGCATATTTATATTAAGTTGTTTAGCTGAGTAACGGGTATCTAATAGTCAAGGCACTCGACTATAGCGTTCTCTCTTGTTTTTAGTAATAAAGGCATAGAAATCGAAATGAAGTTTCGACTTCGGCTAGCCGAAGTTTGTTTCCTTTCTTGTTATACCCTTGCAGAGAGTATTATAATTTTGGTCAAAAGTGTGCAACGCAGTCAAGGAGACATCTCCGACCCTATAAAGTATATATATTCGTGATCAGGATCACCTCCTGAGTTGATATAGCCATGTCCGTCTGTTCGTCTGTCTGTCCGTCTGTCTGTTTCTACGCGAACTAGTCTGTCAGTTTTAAAGATATCGAATTGAAACTTTGCACACACCCTTCTTTCCTTTGCACGCAGTATATAAGTCGGAACGGCCGGGATCGGCCGACTATATCCTATAGCTGCCATATAACTGATTGATCGGAAATGCCATAACTCTGCTGTTTGTTTAGTTAGGAAGTTGGGACTCTCTATGGGTATTATATTTGGCCAATAAATCCGACCTACCAAATTTCATAAGGATCGGCCGACTATATCTTATAGCTGCCATATAACTGATTGATCGGAAATGCCATAACTTTAGTGTTTGTTAAGTTAGGAAGTTGGGATTTCCTATGGGTTTTATTTTTGCCCAATCAATCCGACGTACTAAATTTCATAAGAATCGGCCGACTATATCCTATAGCTGCCATATAACTGATTGATTGGAAATGCCATAATTCTGCTGTTTGTTAAGTTAGGAAGTTGGGATTTTCTATGGGTTTTATATTTGGTCAATTAATCCGACCTACCAAATTTCAAAAGGATCGGCCGACTATATCTTATAGCTGCCATATAACTGATTGATCGGAAATGCCATAACTTTAGTGTTTGTTAAGTTAGGAAGTTGGGATTTTCTATGGGTTTTATTTTTGCCCAATCAATACGACATATCAAATTTCATAAGGATCGGCCGACTATATTCTCTAGCTGTCATATACATAACTGAACGATTGGAAATGCCATAACTTTGGTGTTTTTAAAGTTAGGAAGTTTGGATTTTTTATGAGTATTAAGAATTCATCATATGAATAATTTTGGAGAATATAATTTGCAGAATATTCTGCAAGGGTATTTCAACTTCGGCTCCGCCCGAAGTTAGCTTTCGGGCTATATAGCCCGATCCGGCTCGTTCCGACTTATATACTACCTGCAATAGAAAGACAATATTTGGGAAAGTTTCAAGCAGATAGCTTTAAAACTGAGGGACTAGTTTGCGTAGAAACGGACGAACAGACAGACGGGCGGGCAGAATAAGAAGAATATATATACTTTATAAGGTCGAAAATGTCTCCTTCACTGCGTTGCAAACTTTTGACTGAAATTATAATACCCTCTGCAAGGGTATAAAAATATTATAGTAAGTGCGTCTTTTCTGTTGACCAAGAATGTGCCTTATTTTAAGTTGCAGAAGAAAATGTTTCAAAAAACAATTTATGTTATATTTTTATAATATTTTAAATATTATAATTGAAGTATTATTAAATAACCAAGGTTTTTGCATATTAACTTTTTTCAAAAATCATAAAAATAATAAATATAGAACAAATTTGTGTGGAAAACTGAGTGCGTCTAACCCAAGACCAGCAGTGTATATATTAAGTAAAACTGATCCTTGCGGAACTTTTCTGGTATGCGATTGGTATCAAGATTGTTTTTCATTTTATTTGCCATTATAAAATATTCCAGTTTCTTTTCCTTTATAGTCCGCATATTTTTGAAATAGTCCCATAAGAGAAAAAGTAACAAATTAAACAAATTCACTTATATAATTATTTATCCTGTTTTGAGGTCCTGAAGTAAATGGGTATTTTATTGACAAAGTTAACAGTGCTAATCGAGTTTCTTTTAGAAAAAGAAGATCTCAATTTAGTTTTATAAAAAAATGTAAAATAAACTTTTAAAATAATTTTCAAACAAACATTTTAGATTTGTCTTTTTATACCCTTGCAGAGGGTATTATAATTTTGGTCAGAAGTTTGTAACGCAGTGAAGGAGACGTTTTCGACCCTATAAAGTATATATATTCTTGATCAGGATCAATAGGGGAGTCGATATAGCCATGTCCGTTGGTCCGTCTGTCCGTCCGTCCGTCTGTCCGTCTGTCCGTCTGTTTCAATACCGTTTGCGAGCTCAGTTTAAAAGCTAGCGATCTGAAACTTTCACAGTCGTCCTAAAACAAGTGTACGCAAATCAAGTTTGAAAACCGCCCCGATCGGATGTCTATATGCTATAGCTCCCATAGGAACAATCGGATATAACTTGCAAGAATGGAAGATATTTCGCGCAGTGTAAAAGCTATTGACATAAATCTTTCCAAATCTTATTTTTTTACGCGTACCTTGATCAGAGTAAAAGCGCGTGACGATCGGACGTCTATATCATATAGCTCCCATAGGAACAAAAGGGTAAAATCGGTTAAAATTTAATGATTTTTAGGATATTTCACGCAGTATACAAGCTATTGACATGAATCTTTCCAAATCCTATTTTTTTATGCATACATTGATCAAGGTGAAAGCGCGTGCCGATCGGACGTCTATATCCTATAGCTCCCATAGGAACAATAGGGTGAAATCGGTCCAAATTCGATGATTATCAGAATATTTCGCGCAGTGTGTAAGCTACTAACATAAAATTTTCCAATTCTTATTTATTTACGCATATCTTGATTAGGGTAAAAGCGCTTGCCGCTCAGAAGTCTATATCTTAAAGGAGATAGGAAAAATTGTTGTCCCTTTTTTTCTATTTGCATATGACATTTTTGCAGTATAAAAGCAATTGACTTGAAACGATGCAAATCTAGTTTACTTATGTATACCTTATTCCTTTCGCTACTTTTTCACTTTTAGCAATTTCGTCAAAGTCTGCAAGGTTATTAAAACTTCGGCTTGCCGAAGTTAGCTTCCGTCCTCGTTTTTTTTGCATTATTTTTGGTATCTATATTTCCCCAAATAAGTTTTTTATTTTGTATTATAGTAAGCTCCGTACATAAATGTATATTCAAGCTTTGACAGGTATAAAAAGATTGAGCGATTCGAAAGCTTACCTTGTGTATGTACTATTTTATTTTAAAAATAAAAGTTTTTAATTTCTGCCTTTAACAATTCAAACCACTTCCTTTATTTCATTTAACAATATTCTGGAACATCGTTCATCTGCCGAATTTCAACTGGCACAGCTTCAGCTCCGCCCAGTGAATCTGTATCTTCGTCTGCATCCACACCTGTCATTAACGTTTCCGTTACCAACGTCGTTAATTGTCGTCGAAAGGAAGAGCCTCAGATCGAGCAAATGCCTCAGCCAAAGAAACCACGATTGGTCTTCACCGATCTTCAGCGACGAACATTGCAAGCAATTTTCAAAGTATGTATAAATATAAAAGCTCCAAAAATTAGTTTAGACTACCAATTTTTAAGGCCAAAAAAAGCATGTTCTTAAATTTATTTTTTTTATTTGACTATGGCAAATTTTACTCTTTGTAATTTTGTATTTAACATTTATTATCAAAACCCAAAAAGTTAAAACCAAGAGCATATTATATTTCAATATTTCACAATGTCCCCAAACATGGAAATTTTGTATTCTTACCTTTACATGCGGGTGAAGGGAAAATCAAATGCTTATTAGACTTTCACTTAGCTGTGCAGTGTAATTTTTCTTCGCTCTTTAATCGCACGCTAGGCGACGGTCTTCGGCTCGTTTTTTTTGTTTTTTATTTGTTGCGCGGTGTTTTTTAAAACGATTGGTCAAAATGGGACTAGGTCAAGATTTGTCACTAGATTTGCGAAAATTAATACTAAAAATTTCATCCAGGGAATCCTTAAAACGTCGTTGGGTCGACGTCTACAAGCTGTCATCGATGTTAATGGAGGACCCACTAAATATTAAAAAATTTTAAAACATAAGAAAAAAATGTGTTTTTTTTTTGACAATTCTAGGAAGTGTTCGAATAATTTTTGTGCGAGAAAAAAAGACTTTCTTGTTTAATTTGAGAATATATCTAATTTTTTTGTTAAAATATATGCTAAGAATTTTAATCTTTACTTTGAAATTTTACATTTTTGTTTACGTTATGTTTTTGTTGAGTTATTAATAAATCAAATTGAGAATCTTGGGAGTCCGAATAAATTTTGGTTGTTTTTAAAGAAGTATGCCCATATCTCGGTCTTTTGGGCTAAATTCTTGACTTTTCCCATAGCTGTGAAATATCTGTCACAGTGCCGATAAAACCCACCCAGGACTGTTTTAATTTGTAATAGCTTATTAAATATAGATGCGAGGGCTCGACCGAAATTTGATAAATTTGGTTGAATGCAAGTACCGCCACCATAAATGGTCCCTTGAAAAATACAAGCCTACAAACCGAAGTATATTTTATTTTTAGCAAAGCCAACCTACTATTCTTAACAATCCGCGTGTACATATATTTTATAAGGATCTCTGCATATTGTCGAGATTGGCATCTTGACAGTGTATTAATGGTGAAGGCTGCAATACTATCCCCATTTATTTCGTAAAAAAACTACTCAGTCTTTTTTTGAAATCCAAAAGAAGCAAAATGCTCTGATTGACATAGACTCTAAAGCCATATTAAAAGGGATTTTAAATATATATTCCTTTTAGGAGACCAAGAGACCTTCGAAGGAGATGCAAGTCACGATCGCGCGACAGTTGGGACTTGAACCTACTACCGTGGGTAATTTCTTCATGAACGCCCGCAGGAGATCGATGGACAAGTGGCGGGACGACGACTCCAAAAACACTATGCATTTAATGCATAACCGCCAGCAACAACAAGAAGAGCAGGAAGAAGACGAGGGCCACAGTCAGAGTCAGAACCAAGACCAGAGCCACAATCACAACCATAATCAGATTACGAGCAATAGTTTAACGCACGAAAACTACTCCAGCCTCCACACAACAGCCATGTCGCCGCTGGGAGCCTTTGATGAAGAGACTGATATGGACTTGGAGTTGGAAAGTCACGATTTTGATTTGGTGGACCCCGATGACCATGGGGATAACAACGACCCGAATGGTGACATGTTGTGACAGCATAGCCGAAACAGTCGTCCGAAGTGCAAGAAGCCCGAAATATTAACAAAGTGCGCCAGTACTCGCCCCTTCAACCGCCCCCACACTCAGTCTCACACGCACAGGACTCTTTCGAGGAGGGCGATGGAAGTCAATATTCGTCACATTTTAAGGAAGAACGAATCAGATTATAATGGTAGTAATAGAGAGGGCAGCTATCACGATGACCGGAATGAAGGACCGTTGAACTATTTGCTTGGAAACGAACAACTATCAGATGAGAAGATTCAAATGAAGCAAAGCTTTTGCCCAGGCATACACGAGCAGAACACCAATATCTTTATTGATGAAGTGGGCTTTTCCAATTGCTTGGATGACTTAAAGGTCATGATAGTTTGCTGAGCAGAAAAGAGTTAACAAATTTATGTGACTACTCTGAAATAGTTTAACTGCTCGAATGGTTCAAACAATAATTAAGTTAATACATTTTTGAGTTCCTTAGAAACCTGCAATAGTAAATTCTTACATTTTTTCTTGATCTTTGTTTTACGTTTTCAGATAGTTTAATTCTGTTTGATATAACAGTACGATTATTGTTTTTAATAATACGAAATTGATCTCGAATATTTGTTATTCCCATGCTAAGGGTGTTTTAAAATTTATATTTTCTTCACCAGCATTACTAGTCATATCGATTTAAATATGAATATTTTGTCAACACTATATAACTGGGCATTTGGCTCTATTTGCGTCATGAAAAATCTTGACATACGGTTATATTTAGGGAATTCATATTAATTAATTGTGATCGTTTTTTTTTTTAAGTTGCCTTCTTTACCTTATCCAAGATATCTTAGATAATGATAAAACCGCAATTTCTTAAGCTGGAGATAGTCAAAAGGTCGTTTCTAAAAGCACCCAAGTCTGTAAAAATATTGTATATAAACTTTTACTCATCTGAAACGTTCGTCACTTAAATGAATACAATAATTAATTATTTTGTTATATAATTATTTTGCTAAATAACTTGCGAATTAACTTTCGTTTTTTTAAAAAAAAAATTTCTTTAATCCCTCGGGCGACAGCTCGACATAACCCTTGACATAACCCCTTTTTGAGAGTTTATTACATTTTAACTGGCTAGATTAGTTTTGTGGAAGTATAACCCAATTTTGCTTCCACCATAAATACCTTTTCATTGATCGTACTACTTCAACTACTGCTCCTAACAGCCAATTTAATGAAACCGTGCTGAATATTACTTGTTGCGAAAAATACTGTGTACTGTGAATCAGATGTCTCATATTTTACGAAAACGCAATTAAAGTATTCACTTAAGTTGCAAAAGTTTCAAATGTGTTGGAGTGTAAGCAGTTCTTACAACAATTTCCATATCAAATATTTTGCTAGCTTACAAGACACCAGTCTATGTAATCTGTTGGTGGCATAACGCTTTATTTAAAATAATAGAAATTTACTGAAAAGTCTTGGAGTCATGTTACTCGTGTACAAATTTTTTAATCTTTGTTAATGCTATTCTTCAGTGATAATGATACACAACAAAATTCGTGGCGCAGCGGAATTGTTCGGATTATTATATTTTACTTGGGTAATTGCCGGCTGTTAGAAGCGACACCTTAACTATCTTTAGCTAAAAAACCGCGGCGTGAGTTATTAAAGTCAAATGAGTAATTAATTCTAATTTTCAACGTTGATGGCTACTATGGGCTATTTAACAATTAAAATATTGCAAATATCTGGTTCAGAATATAAAAATAATTTTTTTTACATAAGTCAATGATATTCATTATTTTCTCCGATTACGTTTAACAGTTTAAATGAATACCCTAAATTTATTTCAATCCCACAGTAGGTCTCTTTCGCACAATAAATCCAGCCACTCAGTTAAACTTAAGGCAAGCCTTCAACCTTTTTAGCTTTAACTAAATGGGAGTAAAAATGACACTGGCCTTGGGCAAATGGATAAGGCATCCTTCGCGAAGCATAAATGTGTATGTATGTAGATATATTAGTTTAAACACCATTAAAGAAATGTAAATGGAGAAACCCAATTTAAAAAAAAAAACATAATTAATAACTTCAAAATAACTGTATCTAGTCAAATTTATAACATAAAAAGAAATCAATTTACATAGTTCATGCAAATATTATATTTAGTATAGAATTATTTATTCCACATACACATTCTAGCACACTCATTCACATTAAAAAGGTTATGATGTACCTTTTGTATTTACCCTTTTTTTAATATAATATGGGCCAAATATTGATTATTAATGTGAATATATCAGATGTAACCGACTAAAAATCGTGAACCAATTGGGTTATTATATAAGAAACTGTAAATAAATTAAATATTTAACAAACCCTTCCAGTTAAGTTTGAATGGAGATATTCCATAAAAAACCCGCTTACTTCATGGAAGAAACCACAATAAATTATGATTCATCTTTAAACGATACCAAATGCTTAAACAATACTCAAATGTCATTATAGCAGGCATTATGTTAATATCTGTAGGGTATATTATGCAATAAGGGTACGCCTCTCGATGTATGCTAGTCAATTTAGTTTAAATAAAATTTAGCAACCTACTGCGAATGGAGGGTAGGCATGTTTAGGCACATTCATAATTTAAGTATTTATGTAAAAATCCAGCAATGCAATAATAAATTAAAAGCTAACTTAATAAGTAAGTACCTCTTTATGTATTTATGGAACCAAAGTTGCTATACTATTAAACATATTTATTTTAGGTCATTTATTTGTACTTAAAATAAGAAATCAAATTCTGCAGCTCGGGAATAAGGGCTTTCTAAGAAACCAAATCAATTTTTAATATATTCCGATATCCATTGAGATCGTCATTTCTATGCTGTTTTATACCCATTACTGATATCGTAAAGGGGTAATTGTGTTCATTAAAATATATGTAACAAGTAGAAGGGAATGCTTCTGACCCTATGAAATATACAAATTCTTGTCTGTCCGTATGAACGAAGAAAACTAGCTCAAGCTCCGGATTTAACACGCTGCGCAAGTTAATTTCCAAATTTGGCCGACCCATTCTAACGCCTCTGTCACGTCACTTTGAGAGATGGTTGAGCACAATTTTTTCCGTTTATATTTATCAACACACTAAAAATGTTATAAATCGGAAAATTATTTCAGAAGTTATTAGTAAAACTAGAGTCAAGCACATTCAGTGACGTCACCGCAAGCACTCATATATGTTTTTCACAAGAGATGAGGATTGTGACATAATGATTTTTCAGGTATGTATCTGCTTGAACCATATTTATTTTGACAAAAGGTTCTTCATTGTTATATATATATATATATATATATCAGCATGACTATACGAGTTTTCAGTCTGTCCGTCTTTTTGTATACCGTCTGCAAGATCAGTTAAAAAGACAAGAAGGGAAGCAAGCCGAAGTTTGTATACCCTTTCAGTTATTATAAAACGATTTCTCTACCTACATATATAACTAACAAGAAAGAAAAGCTAACTTCGGGCGGAGCCGAAGTTGATATACCCTTGCAAAATACTCTGTAAATTATATTTTCCAAAATTATTCATATGATGCATTCTTAATACTCCAAGCTTCCTAACTTTAAAAACACCAAAGTTATGGCATTTCCAATCGTTCAGTTATATGGCAGCTATAGGATATAGTCCGTCGATCCTTATGAAATTTGGTACGTCGTATTGATTGGCCAAAAAAACCCATAGAAAATCCCAACTTCCTAACTTTACAAACAGCAAAGTTATGGCATTTCCGATCAATCAGTTATATGGCGCCTATTTACGCCTATCAACTCAGGACGCGATCCTGATCAAGAATATATATACTTTATAGAGTCGGAGATGTCTTCCTGCGTTGCACACTTTTGACCAAAATTATAATACCCTCTTAAAGGATCGGCCGTCTATATCCTATAGCTGCCATATAACTGATTGACCGGAAATGCGATAACTTTGGTGTTTGTAAAGTTAGGAAGTTGGGATAATATCTTTTAAAGGCTCTTTCCGGCAAATACGATATTTGAATTTTAACTGCTTGTCAACAAGCACCGTAGCACGCTTAAATCTGATGAACTCTCGAAATTTTGGTCACACTGGAAAGATTAAAGTTCTTACGCTAGCATACTCGTTTGTCGGTTTGAGTACTAGGCTTTTAAGCCTAGTATCCAGATCGACAAACGAGTATGCTAGCGTAAAAACTTTAATCTTTCCAGTGTGACCAAAATTTCGAGAGTTCATTGGATTTAAGCGTGCTACGGTCGTACTGTCAATCAGCTGGGTTTGTTGACAAGCAGTTCAAATTCAAATATCGTATTTGCGGGAAAGAGCCTTTAAAAGATATTATCAAATACCTTGGCAAGACAAGTCTGCCGCTGTACAAAGAAATTAAAAAACAATACAATTTAAATTTAACAGTTGTTTTTTTTAATTTTCTGATAATTTTTTGCTAATTTAAAGTTTATAGCTGCACTTTTATTGTGTTTTTTCGTACATTCTTGACCTAAAAAACATTTTGCTCTGACAAGAGGCACCCCAGATAGTATTAATGTTATTTTCTCCTCACATGTAAACACCTGCAATCGACTTTTGTGAGTTTTTTGAGTTTTTCCCTCCATTTCTTATAATGTTCAGTGAGAAGCGCACTACAAAAGATTAAATTTTTTAATCTTTTCGCTAGGGTTCACCCAAAGCTCATTTCCGCAGACTGGCAACGCTATGGAATTTTCTGGTATTTTTTTCGTCGATCAGGGGACCGACGTGAAAAAAAGGCCCGACGAAAAGTGAACGCCAGCTGTTTGCCTCTCGCTCTCTCTCATGACTGGCGTACGGTTTTCGTCGATCTGGATACTAGGCTTTACATTTTTTGGTTTTCTGTTTGTCAACAAACCCAGCTGATTGACAGTAAGACCGTAGTACGCTAAGTTCGGATGAACTCTCGAAAATTTGGTCACTCTGGAAAGATAATAGGTTTTTCCGCTAGAGAAATCGACGAAATACATTCGTCAGCTATGAGAAAGAGAAACAGATCGACGAAAAAATACCAGAAAATTACATCGCGTTGCCTTTTTATACCCTTGCAGAGGGTATTATAATTTTGGTCAAAAGTGTGCAAGGCAGTGAAGGAGACATCTCCGACCCTATAAAGTATATATATTCTTGATCAGGATCACCTCCTGAGTTGATATAAGCATGTCCGTCTGTCTGTCCGTCTGTCTGTTTCTACGCGAACTAGTCTCTCAGTTTTAAAGATATCGAATTGAAACTTTGCACACACCCTTCTTTCCTTTGCACGCAGTATATAAGTCGGAACGCCCGGGATCGGCTGACTATATCCAATAGCTGCCATATAACTGATTGATCGGAAATGCCATAACTTTGGTGTTTGTAAAGTTAGGAAGTTGGGATTTTCTATGGGTTTTATTTTTGGCCAATCAATCCGACCTACCAAATTTCTTAAGGATCGGCCGACGATATCCTATAGCTGCCATATAACTGAACGATTGGAAATGCCATAACTTTGGTGTTTTTAAAGTTAGGAAGTTGGGATTTTTTATGAGTATTAAGAATGCATCATATGAATAATTTTGGAGAATAAAATTTACAGAGTATTCTGCAAGGGTATATCAACTTCGGCTCCGCCCGAAGTTAGCTTTCCTTTCTTGTTTTTTTTTGCTTTAACAAATATATTTAATTAACGTCGATCAACCAACTAAATGGTTATAATACATTGGGAATAATAAAGAACAAATAACGTGAAAACATAACAGAAGTGATTAACAAATTTTATAACAAATTAACAGTAAATGGTTAATGCTTAAGGACTTGAGTCATCCTCTTGTCCAGAGATAGGCGGGGTATCTTCGCTTCAGTCTTCGTCTACATGTCGGGTTGGCCAGGGAAGCTGCTAGGTGGTTGGTGTGGACAGCGAGTCGATCGTTGTACCGACTCGAGTGCGGGCTTGTCTGTTTCCTGACAGAAGGAATGTGGAGGTCATTTCCTAGGGCAGGATTTGCAATCCTGCGCAGCGCCCGGTTTTGGACTCTTTCAACTTTAGTCACATTAGATTCTGAAGCCTTGCCCCATAATTGGATGCAGTAAGTCATTGAGGGCCCCACAATTGATTTATAAAGCATCATTTTGTTGCGAGGGCTGAGCTTGCTCGTAGGCTTAGGCATCCAATTCAGCTTTCTGAGTTTAGTGCGACATGTGGCTGCAATTTTCTGGATGTGCCCTTTCCAGGTGAGCCGCTTGCCCAGGATCAGACCCAAGTACTGCGCCTGGGGTGATTGCGGGATGGTAATATGGTGGAGTTTAACTCTAGGAAGCACCTTTCCTCTTAGAGTAAAATTGCAATGTTGCGACTTTCTTCCATTAATAGCAATATTCCACCTGTCTGTCCACTTGCCGTACAGATCCAGGAAGTCCTGGGTTATCCTTGATGCCTCAACTCGGCAGGAGGAGTTCACAAGAAAGGCAGTGTCATCAGATCCGAAGTGTACAGAGTGTACATAATGGGACCCAGGACGCTTCCCTGTGGAACGCCAGCTCGAGCAGTTCTAATGCTTGACCCCTCTTACCACGACCATAAAACTTCGATCAAGCAAGTATGATTTTAATAAGAGGAATTGGTCGGTCGGGAGCAGGGACTTCAACTTATGGACTTCAACCTTGACGTCGAGGAATATAGCAGAACTGTATTGCTTATTTTCAAAAGCATTTAGAATGTGTTGAACGACTCTATGTGCTTGTTCTGGCGTCCCATAATGATGCCTAAAACCGAACTGGTGGTCGGGAATGGCGTCCTGCATGCTTCTTACGGCCATAATTCTATTAGAAATATCCTCTCGAATATTTTTGAGAAAGTGGTCTTATCGGTCGGTATGACTCGACAAGGTTCTCCGGTTTTCCTGGCTTTGGTATCATCGTTATCACTGCACACTTCCTTTGGGATGGTAAGTGGTGGATACGTAGCATTGAATTACAGAGGAGGACAAGGAACAGGATTCCTTTTTTGGGCAAAGCCTTGGCAATTCTGCTATCAATGCCATCGAAACCAGGCGCCTTACTGGGATGTAACTTTCGAATGTGAAGGCAGACTTCTTCTGGGCTAACATGTTGGATCGGAAGTGCATCCGGGGAAGGAGCATTAAGAAAGGCCAGTGTTTCTTCAACATCCTCGGGTCTCGCGAGGTCAAATGGCTAAAAGCGTTTCTCTAGTTCCTCCGCAAAAGCTAGAGAAATCTCTGAGTCAGATCTGCACCATGTATCGTCAGCTTTTTTTATGGGGATCTTTCGTTTCATATTTCGTGTACATTTCCAAAGGTTGAAACCGTACGATTTAATGGAATCCGCGTTGAGGAGCGTTTCATCAAAATATTCGCGCTTTGTTTGGTACAGAAGTTTTTAAAATCATCTTCAGTACGACGATATGAACTTTTGTCGACTGGATCCTGATCTTTTCAACCTTACCAGTTCCATTACCTCAGGTTTTAAAAGAGCCTGAGGTGGGTTGGAAGGGTTTGAGACTTGTCCACAGGTTGAGGACTCGGCAGCGATATGAATATTCCGGACAAACATCTCCACAGCGTCGTTGATGTGCTCAGGAGAGCTTAACATCATATTGAGGTTAACAAGCCGGTTGACTGCTGCTTGAAAGCAAGGAAGGCTCGCATTTCGAGGAAGGATGCGAGGCTTTGGAGCAAATTTTTTGCGCAGCGACTCTGAATTTGATAATCAATGGGATGTGATCAGAGCTAAGCTCATGACTTTCTGTAATGGAAAGACACTTAGACCGTATCTCGCCGTAGACAGCAAAGTCAATGGCTGTTGGTGTTCTTCGGCTATATGGATAATGCGTAGCCCCTCTGGTTGCAAGGACCTGGACATTGGATCTTTGAACCTGGACTTTGGATCTGGGAGAGCTCTTCCACGGGTGGTTGAGTTTCGAGACCCCCACAAACGGTGGTGAATAAAAATAATTTCTTGAGGATGGATTCCTTCTGTACGACGGGAGGCATACTTAAAATAACATAAAAGCACCATTACAATTAAATTAATATATAAATCTCACGCTCTCGGTATAGGAGCTATTCATACATAATAGATTCCTACTTGGGAGGAGCTAAGTTCATTCTTGACTGAGCGCCATTGAACTAAAGAGGCCATAAATGGCATGTCGGATTACCTCGTTTCCGAGGTATTTTATCCTAATAATGGCAAGTTTCCTGAGGCTTGGTGCAGAGAAACAATATTACATTATAATAAGTATTGCCTCAATTGCTTGGATCTTGACGCAAAGGTAATCGCTGCTAGAAGTGTGGAAGGAACCACCACGTTCTTTCATGTATGCATATATTAATTTGAGATAAATGGTTTTCTTGCTACGGCTGTCCTTGCAAGGAGAAATACTCAGGCCAAGTAAATGCATAACTTCGCGCAATCCGCATCCAAAAGTCCAGAATTCTTTTCTAAGCAATTTTTCGCGGGTATTTCCCGTTTTTAACTTTGAAAACTTTGTATCACCAATCCCGGACGCGTTACTTGTATGGTGGATGATGGTTATCCCATATTCTATAACCTTATAAAGGCAATTTATACTGCTCGGAAAAAATATCAACACTTTGACATCACCAAAGCAATAAAAAGCGGCTCTAGTAAGAGCTATGATACGTATTATTTTTGGTTTCTGAGCAGTAGCAGGCAATTTAGTTTTGCTACTGCTGCACGCAGCTAGGTCAAATCCACATGCAGTAAAACTATTTTATAAAAAATGTAACATGATCCAGTTTTCTTTGTTTCGGAGATATCGAGCTTTAAAACAATATGTGTCAACAACACATAGTAACGATTTATTTTAGTTTTTACATTTGTTGTGTGTGCATATACTAACATACATATTTAAGAACAATCTAATATGTACCTGCCAATGGTTTAATCATAAAACTTGAATTACACAGGAATATTAGTTCGGACAGGGTACTTTAGTTAAGAAGTAAGTTGGAATTCAAGCGTAAGCCGTAGTAAAAATTGTTGCTGTCTCACTTGCTCATGTAGGTCTTAGATTTAGTAACTTAAATTTTTGTTAACTTTTGTGTGCATTCAAAATGCAATGTTCTATATAATGAAAGCCAATTAATCTATCTATAATAACGAGCGATAAAATCACGATCCTGATATTGCATTTTGATTCGGTATCCCGATCTTCTTTCTTCGTTTTAAAATAACCTTAAACAATGCTGAGCCTTCACAGAGCTGACATATTTCAGAACATGTTCTCGTTCTCATTTTAAACAGATGAGGTCGCATTTTGCCCGCTATCAATCGTTAGGCTAGATGCGCGCATACTTAGCGAGGCCAACGACAAATTGCTGTGGTACATGACTTTGGGGGACAACAAAGTGCTATTTTCGGCATCCAGTGACGGTTTGTTGACATGGCAAAACGCGACCGATGGTAGGAGAATATCGGAGTTCATGCCCAGGAGACCGTCCACCGACAGAGCATTTGCATTTAGGGTAACTGTGACGGCGCTGCCTCCGTCGGTACTTTCGCTCTCAACCGGAACGCTGCCGCAAAGATGTGTGCGAGAGCTTACCAACTTGTTGCAGGCGGGGCATGACCGTGGTGTATTTTTGTCCCGACGTCGTAATATTTCGTAGGCGCATCTGCGAATAATTTAATATAATTAAAATTGTTATTTAATTTATTTCCCTGATAAATGGCATTGTTTAAAAATCTAAGACAATAACCCAATAAAAACAACTGGAAGAGCCATAAACTTATATATATGTACATTGTTATACCCTTTACTCGTAGAGTATGAACGTCGTGATCTCGGAAACTATAAGAGCTAGTGAGATATAGCATAGTACAAAATTTATTTTAGCTCATACATTTCTTGTGTTGCATTTCTACATGCAAAATGCCAATCTTCTAGCTTTTATAGTTTCCGAGATCTCCGCGTTCATACGGACAGACAGACGGACAGACGGACATGGCTAGATCGACTCGGCTAGTGATCCTGAACAAGAATATATATACTTTATAGGGTCGGAAACGCTTCCTTCTATCTGTTACATACTTTTGCACGAATACAATATACCCTTTTACTCTACGAGTAAAGGGTATAAACATCGACTGCAGCCTCGCAAAATATTTCTAGTGTTGGTTCACATGTCACAAATCGATCCCAGACTGGAAAGTTCCGTTTTCAGCAGCAACTCTTAAAGGCGTTTGCGTTCAACAAAGTGAGTGACTACTCTGGATTGGATCAAGGACCGGACAGAAAGAGGTTTAAGGCGCAGGCGCAAATCAAATGCCATTATTGCAGCAAAATGGGACATAAAGCGTTTCATCATACTGGCAAACCCTTGGCTGGACGGGAGAGGTCAGTAGTTACTTTGAAGCAAGTGGCAATCCTGGTCACATTGCATCTGCATGTACGAAGGGAACGACTTCGGCGAACAACTACAACAACGAGAAGCGAGTTGGAGCAAATGGGTGAGAGTTTTATCTTCTTCGATTCGAGTGCCAATGCTGTTTAGTAAAGGAAAAACTTTGCAACAAGCTGTTGACAACTGTAAATATTTCCGAATTTGATGTGGAACTCCTTTTTCATGTAGTAATGGATATTTACCTTAAGTACGATATTAATTGGTCGAGAAATATTGCAGCTAGATTTTGGTGTCATAATTGATGCTAACAAACTCACAATGTATATGAATCAAATTGTCAATGTAGTGAATAATGAAACTTTAATAAGCATCTTAGTTAGTTAGTTAATGTTAGTTAATATTAAGAACAAATTGCCAGACAGGCGAATAAATACAGGAGAATTATAAATTCGTCTAATTGATGAACATAAGACTGTACAAGGTCGTCCGTATAGATTAAGTGTAGAAGAAAAACAAGACAGAACGCTATAGTCGAGTGCCTCGATTATTAGATACCCGTTACTCAGCTAAACAACTTAATATAAATATGCCTCTTGTATGTTTTTCGCCGCTCGAATTAGCTCCCGATTTTTATGGCGAGTAACGGGTATAAAAACCAATAGTTAGGTACAAAATTCAACAAATGATTGAAAACAATGTCATCCGGCCAAGTAGCTCTTAATTCGATAGTCCTATGCTTTTAGTTAAAAAGAAGAATGGAATTGATATACTATGCATTGATTTTCGCAAGTTAAATGCGAATACGGTGTCTGATAAGTATTAATTGCCATTAATATCAGGTCAGATAGAAAAATTACGTGGTAGTAAATACTTTAGCAGTTTGGACATGGCCAGCGGATTTTATCCGATTATCACACTGATTCCATCCAGAAAACAGCTTTCGTGACTCCAGAAGGCCAATACGAATTCCTTGCTATGCACTTCGGTTTGAAGGACGCTTCGTCAGTATTTCAAAGAGCGATAGTACGAGCCTTAGGTAGATTTGGATATGGCGAAATCAAGCCCAATCCCAGAAAAATAGAAGCTCTATCCGCATTAAGTCAACCAATTACGCATTTAAGAGAATTTATAGATTTGGCTTCATATTTCCGCGATTCTTATACAGACGTCAGCGCGGATGGCTACGGTGCAATGCTCCTTCAGAGGATTGGAGGCAAATGTAGGGTGATCGAATATATCAGCAAGTATACATCGGCTTCAGAATCAAAATATTATTCATATGAGCTTAAAACTTAAGCTGTGTTTAGTGCTGTAAAACATTTTCGACATTATCCTATTCCAGAAGCCTCGAAAACGATAAACAAAGTAGTTGAGGTTCGCGTTGACTTGGCAGTAATCCCTAAAGATTATAAAATGAAAGACCGATTTTTAAGGGGATACGGCCACAGCCCAAACCGTAAGAGCAAGAGCAGCCACAGTATTCCATTGGGGGCGTGGGCGCCCACTAAGATCCGATATGTCCCCTCAGTGGCCCCAAACAGCTCCAACATCCATTATTCTGAGCAAAAAAAAGTTTATGTATTTAAGCTTAACTTCTAAACTGGTTGGAATTTCGATATTTGGTTTTTTCCGAATTTTAGGTTTTGAAAAGGCCTAATTAGAAATCTAAAAGAAATTTTGATATCCCCCATAATTTGGGGGCTACATTTAAAATTAACTTTTCGATTTAAAAGATCTAAACCGCTGCTCCGATCAAGATGATTTTTCGCTCAATAGTTATTCTATGGCCCAAATGCTTAAGTTTAATTTTTCAAGTTTTTAACATTTTTTAAGTATTTTTAACGAATTTATTTAGATTTTCTAAGTCATTGCGTTGCATTTTGCGGGAGCCTGTCGAGAGAACGAAACCCAGAAGCCAAGAGAGCGACGGCCGAGAGAGCAACAGCCAAGAAAACTGATGAGGGGGATGGGTAGTGCTGCAGGGAAAGGGGAGGGGAAAGAGGCAATTTAAGTTAAATTTGTTTAGGATTTTAAAAACTTAAACTGCTGCTCCGATCAATATGATTTTCGATCAATAGTCAGTCCTGTGGATCAAATGCTTAGGTTTTATTTTTCATTTTGTAGCAGAAGTAAGAGCCTTATTTAATTTCCACCATGGAAGAAAATAGAAAATTACTACAAATTCTGTAAGCAAAGCCAAAATGTTTCCAAGTTAAATATTAATCTTAAGATTCGAACTTTTGACCAAATACGTATGTACATATGTATATTTGGATATGTTTTGATTTGCTTTATGTACAATACATGTACATACATACAATGTGTGTGTATGTTTCTATTCGGAAGTAGATAATGTGCTTAAATACAAATAAAATGATTTATTATACCCGTTTATCGATCAAATATGGAATCTGAAAATAATACGTTACTTTGCTGTTTTTGTATTGGATGCCAATCTTTTACTGTGTGTACAAAGGTTTTCGTTTCATTCAAAACAAGAAATTTGAAAACAACAAAGTCCAATTTACAAACAAGTATACATATTTGTGCGCAAATTAAAATTGCATTGATAACATTGTAACTGATAAAAAGTATACTAGCTCACGACTTTTACTTGGACCACTTTCATTTATTATATAGCTCTGCCAGTATCCTTCTGATTCTCTCTCTTGAAGGATCTTCTACAAAGGTTGTTTACACAAAGGTTTTCAAAAAACGCCCAAATAAGAAATAAGAAAGTCCTGACAACCCAATTTCATAACTCTAAACTAATAATAAGCGAACGAGCAAAAAGTCGTATACAATACAATTTTACAAAGCGTTGGGGCTGAGATGGGTGAAATATTTTTTTTGGATGCACCTGGAGGGACAGGTAAAACCTTCTTGACAAACTTATTGTTGGCAAAAGTTCGAAGTTCAAAAAAAATAGCCCTAGCTGTAGCATCTTCCGGTATAGCTGCTACCCTGCTCAATGGAGGTCGAACTGCTCATTCTACATTTAAACTTCCTTTGGATTTAGTTAATTTAGAAACACCTCATTGCTCTATTTCAAAGCAATGTAATATGGCTGCGGTGTTTACAGATCGTAAGTTAATTGTTTGGGATGAGTGCACAATGTCACATAAAGGTGGGCTTGAAGCCATAAATAGAACCCTACAAGATATTAATGAGAATACTATGTTGATGGGTGGTATTACAGTCCTGCTAGCTGGAGACTATCGCCAAACCCTTCCTGTTGTGCCAAGAGGTACAAGAGCTGACGAAATAAAGGCCTGTTTAAAATCTTCATTTTTATGGCCACAGATAAAAAAACTAGCGGTCACGAAAAATATGCGAGTGCACTTAAAAGGAGACTCTTTTAAAAATTGGGAATGGCGTCCATCCAACAGTTGAGGCAAAAATAGTTATAACATCACGCTTAGGAAATGTAGTCAAAAACGTTCAAGACCTTACATCCAAAATATTTCCTGACATTTCCAACATATAATGTAAAAGCTTAGATTGGCTATCTGAGCGCGCCATTTTGACAACGAAAAATGAAAGAGCAACCACTATTAATAATTTATTGCTAAACTCATTTGATGGTTTAGAAGTCTCCTATAAATCGGTCGACTCTGTTCCTGATGCTGATAATGCTGTTCATTACCCTGTTGAATTTTTAAATTCTTTGAATCCTCCAGGAATTCCTCAGCATAATCTGTCTCTTAGGATTGGAGCACCCGTAATGATATTGCGAAATTTAAGTCCCCCAAAGTTATGCAATGGTACACGATTGCAGATAAAAGGTCTTCATAAGAATGTAATCGAAGCAACAGTATTTACGGGGTGCGCGAAGGGGGAAACAGTGTTTATATCCAGGATCCCATTAATACCATCCAGTCTGCCGTTTCAGTTTAAAAGGCTACAATTCCCTCTAAAAGTTTGCTTTGCAATAACTATAAATAAATCGCAGGGGCAGACTTTGAAGCTGGCTGGACTAGATCTTAGAGAAGATTGCTTCTCTCATGGACAATTTTATGTCATATGCTCTAGAGTTAGCTCTGCCAGTAGCCTTATTATTCTCGCTCCTGAAGGATCTTCTAAAAATTTTGTTTACACAGAGGTTTTAAAGTAATCATATTAATTAACATTATTAAACCTAGAAAGTTTCAGTGGAATAGGTCTAATTGGAGATACCACATTAAAAAAACGAGCCAATTTCTCTACCTCAGGGGTGGTGTGGAATTGGGAAAGTCTTGACAACCGTACTCAAAACTAATTTTAAGCGAACGAAGTCGCGCCGGGTACAGCTAGTAACAAATAATTGGCTAATCGCTTAACAACGGAGGGACTTAGGTATAGTTGATATCATGACACAATTAAATGGAAATGAGATGCAAGTTGGCAGAGCTAAAACTTATGAAATTAGAGCCGGATTGTTGTATCGCAAAATTCAAAGAAGTGGTAAGACTAGTTGCTTACCAGTGCTTCCGAGAGCCTTTAGGTGGTCGGTCATTAATCATGTGCACGAGGCTATAATGAATCTTCGATGGCAGAAGACTCTTAACAAAGTCTATGAACAATATTGGTTTGAAAGTATGTCAAAGTACGTCAGAAAATTTGTGGAAAACTGTAGGTAGGAGCTTTACTAGTGGTCAATTCCGTGACTTCTGTTCATCAAAATAAAATTTAGTTACATTTAATTGCAACAGGGGCAAGCAGGGCAAACGGCCATAAAAAACAGAGGATAGCGATTATAACTTTTCGATTGAGAGTGACTTAAAAATAAAGTGTTTAATAACAATCGTCTTTGACTTTCAAAGTGAACGGTCGTGTTTTTTTTCTGCGCTTCGAATTTTGCATTTTGTTTTCGTTTATTCCCATCGGTGGGTTTTATCAAAACAATTCTAATTCGCTTCCGGTTTATTTAAACATAAATTATAATTATAATAATTAAGTGTTTTAGTTTTTCGTAATTCTTATCTGTGTTTTCTTCTTATATCCCCGCCGTTTCTCTTTTGTGCATACACTTTAACTTATTTACGCTCCCGCTCTCTTGCTCTCTTTGCTTTTGAAAGTTCTAAGCGTGCAGTTTCTGCGCTCTTGCGGTACTTAGAACTGCTCGCTTATAAATTTCAATTTCGCTTTCTTGGTACAGTGGTAAATAAATAAAATGAATAATAAAAATTTAGTCTGCTTCTGCAAAAAATGCAGCCTCGTAATCAGGGCTGACCAGTCTAATATGACTTGCTGGCTGTGTGAAAATCCCAATTCCCAAATATTTGGAAGGAATCATTTGTTATTCCTCTTCTCAAAAAAGGTAACAAGTTAGAAGCCAGTAACTACAGAGGTATTTCTAAGTTGTCAGCTATTCCTAAGCTTTTTGAAAAAATTATTACTCCTCATTTGCAGCACCTTTGCAGATCAATCATTTCTCCGTGTCAACACTTCATTTGTGATAAAAGGCTTCAATAGTAGTTTTCAAACAGACGTCATTTACACTGACTTTAGTAAAGCATTTGACTCTGTAAATCACTTACTTCTCATTCAAAAACTTGACCTTTTAGGTTTTCCAGTTGATCTGCTTAAATGGATTTCAAGTTATCTATCTTTTTAAAAATTCAATTTCTGAAATTCTCCGTGTTACCTCCGGTGTCCCACAAGGGAGCCATCTGGGTCCGTTACTTTTTACATTATTTATTAACGATCTTCCATCAATTATAAGTCATTCTCGCGTACTTATGTACGCAGATGATGTTAAGTTGTGCCTGCAGTATAAGGACATTTCCTGCCATTTAGACTTGCAATCCGATCTAGATAATTTTCAAAACTCAAGCTGATGACTTTTTATCGAGCCAATCAGATATACGCGACTTACAAGTTAAGTGGCAGCTCTTTGGATAGAATAACTCTTGGAAACGATCTTGGCGTTCTCTTGGACCCTAAACTAAAATTTTCTAATCACATTTCGTCCATGGTTAATATCGCTAGTCCGTCCGATTCTGGAGTATGGGTCTCCCGTCTGGAGTCCACAATACGGAATACATATTGGTCGTATTGAATCTGTACAAAAAAACTTCCTTCTTTTTGCTTTACGGCGCCTAAACTGGGATGCAAATCTTATCTTACCTTCTTATTCTAGTAGACTTCTTTTGATTAATTTACCATCCCTAGCCAACCGTAGAACGATGCTTGGTACTATCTTTATTTATAACCTTATACATGGTGATATTGACTGCCCCGACTTGTTAAGTCGGCTAAACTTTTCTGTGCCAAGTAGATTAACTAGAAATTATATTCCCCTAATTTTAAATCATTGTAGATCTAACTATGCCTTGCATGAGCCTTTCAGAGTATTATGTTCTGACTATAATAGACTTTTTCCTGTAATATCAAATCTTGACTCTCTGCCGCTCCTAAAACGATTAATACTTGCTTCATTGGCACAAGATTGATCTAACTATTACTTTTTTCCCCGGACCTTTACCTTTATTTTCCTATCTCGCGTCTATCCTATCGCGAATCGTGCCGTACGATACACGGCTGCGCCCCTCGGTCGGTTGGGCGGGTAAGTGGGCCGTGGGACTCCGCGCGAAAAAAAAAAAAAAAAAAAAATTTTTAGACTTACTATACGTATTATAAAAGCTTACCTAGCATGAAGAATGTGTGCACATGGCAAAGCTTCTAAGTTTTCCGGACGAAGGCCAAACAACTCGCCACACGCACCACAGTTCAAGCCTAGCGCAGCATCCGTTTGATTGGCCAAACGAAAATGTGTGTTGTACTGATCCTCGTCGCCCAATGCGCGGTAGATTAGGGCCAGTCGACAACGAATCTTGCGAACCAGAAACTGGAATATCAGCAACACAAAAATAAGCTGAATACATTTTAGAATGAAACGCACGAGCAGACATGAACATGTTGTGCAATATAGATTATCAACAGAAGGACTTATTTAGAAGGTGCCAAATTTTGTTTAATTTTTTCCCAAAGATACAAGAATGTTATATCAAAGTTGCAAAGGCAATTTTACCAATTTTGAAAAGTATGAAAAAGATTAAATGTCACAGATGTAGGATGGACCGGATACCTAAATGAGCTTTACTACTTCAAGTAAATTACATTAGAAGAACATAAAACAGTTTTTTTTTAACTTTTTTTATTTCGCATCAGAAAATAACTACAAAAATACTATAAACTCGTTTACTCTTACCTTGGCACCAATTGAGCTTGCAACTTCCAGAAGTCTTGTGTTAAATTCCAGAGGTCTGCAATTGCAGATCTTGTTTTGAAGTCGTAGTGTTTCTAGGCAACGGGCTGCTCCGTCCATAGCCTCCATTTGCGCCATACGATCCCCTAAACTGGCTGACGTACCCATTGCCTGTTCGTATTGCCGGAATGCCCTCTGAAATTATATATTTGGCATTACCATATATATTTAAAGTATTTTCAACGTGTAACGAATAAAAAAAGCACCTCGAAATTAGATAAGAATGTATTGGAAATCGCATAAAATGAGTTGACAAACGAGATTTTAGATTGTCTATAGAAAGCATTCCTCGTTTGTTCGATCACAAGATTACTTTTCTCCTGTTACTTTAAAATTATTTTGAATTTGCTTCTGAAATTTTAGGGACACATTCTTGGAAAGTTTGGGTAGACAGATATGCAAAAAAAAAAACAGCAATCAATGCGTTTGTGCACTACTTACATCCATGTCCATTTGTTTTCGGTAAATGTCACCCATAACGCGAATACTTCGCGTATAAGTGGCCTGGTCTCCAGATATTAGTGACAGCTTTGTGGCCTCCTGAAACGAAGTAACGGATTACGTTGAGAACCTTTGAAATCAAGTAGGTGGACCGCCTTGATACTACCTTACAATAATCTTGTGCATCTCCGAGTTCGCCTTGCTTTCGCAGAGATACAGCCATTCGCAATAATGCAGCTCTATGGTGGCATGAGTTCAGGTCACCCAACTGTAGGGAACGAGATAAATCGTAGGCCTTGGAAGCGTACGTTGCACTCTTATCGTTATCCTGGAGGCGTCCAAAAAGCTCAGATAGCGCAACATACACTTGTAGCTCCAGGGAAGGATCTCCAATAGCGGTAGCAATCTTGTAAGCACCCTGCAAGCCTTCCAGTGCCCTAGAAAATCCTCCCATTTCTAAATATACTCGAGCAACCGTCAAATGGACAAGCCCACTCCGACATTTAGTGCCGCACTCATTGTAAAGTGAGTGCCGAGCATAACTTAGAGATCGCTCCAAACCGCCCAAACAAGCGTGTGCTCTACTGAGGTTTAAGTAAGTCTCAGCTCGCATATTTGGCGAATCCAGCTCCTCTGAAATTCTGAGGATATTGGAAATTGAAAGTTAATATTTATATATACTAATAATATTTGGTGTTAGATAATAATTGTTATTAAGGACAAAAACCTTTACTTCTGCCTAATATCTGTTTTCTTATCAACTATTTAAATACTGGCTCCACTTTATCAAAAAGACTTCTTTCTGTTCTCCCATAGATGCTATATCCATATACTTCAAAATGTAGTTATTTTTAACGATTTCAGAATTACGGTTTTACTTTTATAAAAGTCGGACGACTATATCGTAAAGATGACATAGGAGCGATCGGAAAGTATTACGAAAAATCAACCTAGCTGCATTGTTTTAAAGCATCGAAATATAGAATACTTAATTTTTGTAAAAGCTGTTTCTTGTTTAACCGATTTCGGTGTGCTAAACCCGAAAATGTGCCATCACGTCAAGGTTTTGAAAAACTAATTTGCACAAAATTGGAAAATCACAGTTTATTTTTACCATTTTTTAACTTTAATTCAATTACTGTTTTAAATGCTTCAACCGAGACTGTCTGTTCATATTTTGACAATTCATAGTTGACGCGAGTTTTTCAGCTTTAAAGTTACGGTTTTTTGTTTGGATTTGTGAATAAAAACGAACAACATCTGGGAAAACTACAGTAATGCTATAAAAAACGACTAAATTTTGATTTCTATGCCTATATTAAAAAAAAAAAATGAAAAACAAATAAAAACAATGAAGCTATGTTGATTTTGCGCTGCATTTTGCAGCTATATGATATTGTTGTTCCATTTTGACAAAACCAAAAGCGTAATTCTGATATTACTTTATCTCAAAGAAATATTATGATAGGTAGAAAAACAGCAAAAAACAATTTATTTTTCTACTTATTTTTTATAACTTTTCAATTTTTATATGGGAGCTACAGATGTCCGATTTAAATTTAATTAAAACCGTAGTTCCATAGTATTTAAATATTACCAAATCACAAAGAACAAAAAAAAAATTTTAAAACAAGAAAGGAAAGCTAACTTCGGACGGAGCCGAAGTTGATATACCCTTGCAGAATATTCTGTAAATTATATTCTTCAAAATTATTCATATATTCATATATTCTTAATACTCATAAAAAGTCCTAACTTCCTAACTTTAAAAACACCAAAGTTATGGCATTTCCAATCGTTCAGTTATATGGCAGCTATAGGATATAGTCGGCCGATCCTTATGAAATTTGGTAGGTCGGATTGATTGGCCAAAAATAAAACCCATAGAAAATCCCAACTTGATAACTTTACAAACACCAAAGTTATGGCATTTCCGATCAATCAATTATATGGCGGCTATAGGATATAGTCGTCCGATCCTTATGAAATTCGGTAGGTCGGATTAATTGGCCAAAAATAAAACTCATAGAAAATCCCAACTTCCTAACTTTAAAAACACCAAAGTTATGGCATTTCCGATCGTTCAGTTATATGGCAGCTATATGATATAGTGGCCCGATCCGGCTCGTTCCGACTTATATACTACCTGCAATAGAAAGACAACTTTTGGGAAAGTTTCAAGCAGATAGCTTTAAAACTGAGGGACTAGTTTGCGTAGAAACGGACGGACGGACAGACGGACAGACGGACAGACGGACGGACAGACGGACAGACGGACGGACAGACGGACATGGCTAGATCAAATCTCCTGGTGATGCTGATCAAGAATATATATACTTTATAGGGTCGGAAATGTCTCCTTCACTGCGTTGCAAACTTTTGACTGAAATTATAATACCCTCTGCAAGGGTATAAAAAGAGTTATATTAAAAAAAAAAACAACTTTTGGACGGACGAACGGACAATCGGAAGGAGGGACATGGATAGATCGACTGTCCCGGTGATGCTGATCAAGAATATATATACTTTATAGGGTCGGAAATGTCTCGCTCACTGCATTGCAAACTTTTGACTGAAACTATAATTTTATATTTTATTATTTTTTGAGTACGAATAATGCAAGCTCGAACAGCTGGCCTTATCACTTTTATTGACATCGACTATCGAAAAAACGCTTTACTCACATATTCTACTTTATTCTAAAACCCTTAAGTTAGTTAATTCAACAAACACTCCGCGACAGAACGAGTTATCTAGAACACGAAACGGAAGTCGACTGTTGGCATAATTAGAGGTGATCGTACCAAATCCTTTCTCGCTACAATCTCGAAACAAATTCAACACCTTAACCCAAATTAGAATTAAACAAAAGTATATATATCCTTGCAGAATATTCTGTAAATTATATTCTCCAAAATCGGATCGGTTGTCCAAAAATAAAACCCATACAAAATCTCAACTTCCTAACTTTAAAAACAACAAAGTTATGTCATTTCCGATCGTTCAGTTATATGGCAGCTATTGGATATAGTCGTCCGATCCCGGCCGTTCCGACTTATATACTGCGTGCAAAGGAAAGAAGGGTGGGTGCAAAGTTTCAATTCGATATCTTTAAAATTCAGAAACTAGTTCGCGTAGAAACAGACAGACGGACATGCTTATATACACTCACGACGCGATCCTGATCAAGAATATATATACTTTATAGAATCGGAGATGTCTCCTTCAGTGCGTTCCACACTTTTGACCAAAATTGTAATACCCTCTCCAAGGGTATAAAAAGCGTACCCAAGCTGCTGATGCCCGAATTCAATAGCCTCCCGAAATTTTCCCCAGTCCATATGGGCCTGGTACAAGTATCCAAGTAGCTGGAAGCAGTCTTCGCGTTGGCAGGTCCCTTTAAGTGCACTACGCCATGTACGGACAGCCTCCGTTTGATTGTTTTGCTCATATAGACGTCGTCCTCGCTCGATCTGGAGAACATTACTCAGATCACCAATATACCCATCCAATATACACATCCGTATATATAAGAGACTTACCTTTCGTTTGGCTATGTACTGCTTTAAGCTATGTTGACATGACAAAAAGCAACTGATTACAGAACCCGATCTTAATAGCCTCTGGCTAGCCCAGAGGGATCGGGATCCTACGTCTGGACTGGATCCATATCCCGCCAATCGAGAAAAGCTTTCATCTAATTGACATAAATCTGAAAAGCATTAATTATTTGTTTTTGCTCTTGTTGACATAACAATGAAATTAAACTTACACTTTATTAATTCACCTATTATATTAAATATAAATATTGTAAGCAATGCTCATCCTAAAGTTTGGGGCTTATAATTAATGCGCAATTAAAAAAAAACGAAGACGGAAGCTAACTTCGGCAAGCCGAAGTTTTAATACCCTTGCAGACTTTGCCGAAATTGCTAAAACTGAAAAAGTAGCGAAAGGAATAAGGTATACATAAATAAACTAAATTTGCATCGTTTGATGCCAATTGCTTTTATACTGCAAAAATGTCATATAAAAATAGAAAAAAAGGGATATTTTCGCAGCCTTTAACAATGTATGTCAATAGCTTATATACTGCGCGAAATATCTTCCATTCTTGCAAGTTATATCCGATTGTTCCTATGGGAGCTATAGGATATAGACACATCTGCGTACACATGTTTTAGGACGACTGTGAAAGTTTCAGATCGCTAGCTTTTAAACTGAGCTCGCAAACGGTATTTAAACAGACGGACAGATGGACGAACATGGCTATATCGACTCACCTATTGATCCTGATCAAGAATATATATACTTTATGGGGTCGGAAACTGCTCCTTCACTGCGTTACAAACTTCTTACCAAAATTATACCCTCTGCAATTAACTAGTTTTTGGACACAAAGAAGTAAAAGGTATTATTGAGAAATTTTTTTATACTAGTACTTTGTCCAAAAAGTGTACTTTTTTCTTATGACCATACCGACAGTACTTGTCCTAAAAGAAATATTAAGTTTGCATATCAAATTTTTTAATTGATATAAATCGGATAGTCTTTTCGAAAGAGAACCAGAAGAAGCGTTTTTGGCATGGAATTCGTTTCTACCGAGGTGCCTTATTTTCCAAGAGCTTTTGTAATCGCGCTTAAATTAAAATTACTTTATTTTATTTTTATCTTCTTGAAATTCGACACCATTTTATTGTATTTTCAATCCGATACATTTGTAAGAAAATCTTTTCGTTTCCAATTTAAAACAACTATCTTAACTTTGTTAGGACATGTATATTTAAAAAAGTTGCTCAACTTAAAAGCGCTTTTTGACCTATCTTCAGACCACTCGCCAGTGCTAATAACACTTCTTAAAAGCCCTGAAATAGTTGAACACCTCTTCAGGCTAACTTCGCACAGAACTAACTAGCTTAAATACAAAATCTCCAGAGTACTAGCAAATAAATACTATAGATCCAATCAGCAAATCGAACAGCTGGTGCGAAAAAAGATACGCATACGACGTGCTTGGCAGACCAGCAGATTTTCATATTCAAAGTAAAGCCTTTAAGAATCTTTCCCAACGAAATCGAAAAGTTATTAGGGAACTAAAACCAATAACGGCTCCTTGTTGTGACTTACTAACCCCAACAAGAGAGAACGCTATAGTCGGGTGCCCCGACTATCAGATACCCGTTACTCAGGTAAAGGGAGTGCGAGGGAGATGGCGATAGAAACTTTAATCACGCATAACTTTTTAACGAATGGTCCGATTTGAAACATTTCGATAGGTATTGATAAACACAATAAAACTGCATTTTTACTTTTCCGAAATATTTAAATTTTTAAAATCGTATCTAAGCGATTGTGGGCGTTAAATGGGGCGTGGCACCTTTTTGAAACAAACTTGCGCTGCGTAGGAACTCCTAGAATCTGCGTGCAAAATGCCAATCTTCTAGCTTTTATAGTTTCCGAGATCTCACCGTTCATACGGACGGACAGACGGACAGACGGACATGGCTATATCGACTCGGCTAGTGACCCTGATCAAGAATATATATACTTTATAGGGTCGGAAACGCTTCCTTCTAGCTGTTACATACTTTTGCACGAATACAATATACCCTTTTACTCTACGAGTAAAGGGTATAAAAATTCTAATCGAACTTCCAAACTGTGCTATGGAGGTCGTTTGTAAACTCTTTAATGGGTCATTTATCTTGGCTACTTGCCAAAGAAGTGAACAAAATATATTATATCTTTCGATATCAGATATCAGCACGGAAAAGACCACACAATTCCGTCAGCGTACAGACCAAAAGGCCTACGGTCTTGTTTGTCTAAATTATTTGAAAAATGGCGTTATAACGCGCATAATACCACACAATGTCATCCCGGCACACCAGTTTGGCTTCCGAAGAAACTATGGTTGAGCAAGTTAACAGAATAACATCAGAAGTACGCTCAGCTTTTGAGCATCGAGAATATTGTAGCGCTATATTCCTCGACATATCAGAAGCCTTTGACCGAGTCTGGCTTCATGGTCTCATGCATAAAATCGAAATTCATTTGCCGATCTACACTCACAAGCTCCTCAAGTCGTATCTCTACAATAGAGTATTTTCAGTGAGCTGCAGAATACTTGATTGAAGCTGGAGTTCCACAAGAAAGCGCACTTGGGCCTACCTTATTTGTGCTATATAATGCGGATATCAGCACGAAAGTTATGCTAACAACGACCACGCTAAAAATCTTGCTGTAGTGGAAAGGTGGCTATCTGATTGGCGTATCAAACTAAATAAGCTAAAGTGTAAACTCGTAACGGTTTCTCTTAATAGACAAACATGCTTTCCGCTTTTTTTGAACTGCGTAGCGTTCTCCTCCACGCCAACGAATTAACGAACCTCGGCGTCCACCTCAACATAAAAATAAAAGCAATACAATTATATACAATAAAATACTATTTATTATAATTTTTATTAAAATTTTTTTTTTTTATTTTCCTATGCGAGCTATATGATAAGGATGTCCGATTTTAATTTAATTAAAACCGTAATTCCAAAGTATTTAAATATAACCAAATCCCAAAGAACAAAAAAAATTAAAAACAACAAAGTTATACTTTTCCCCTTTTTCCTATGGGAGTAATATGATATTGTCGCCCGATTTGGCTCGTTCCGACTTTTTACCACCTGCAATAGAAAGGCAACTTTTGGGAAAGTTTTAAGCAGATAGCTTTAAAACTGACGGACTAGTTTGCGTAGAAACGGACGGACGGATGGGATGGACGGGCAGACGGACATGGCTAGATCGACTCTCCTGGCGATGCTTTACATAGTCGGAAATGACTCCGTTGCAAACATTTGACTGAAATTATAATACCCTCTGCAAGGGTATAACAAATAGTTTTATAAGTGATTTTATATGATTTCTGTAACAGGCCGCATCCAACACTATTCTCACCAAAATGGAATACTTTTAGCCTTTTTGGAATGCAATTTGTTATAAATAATCATGAAATTACATGTTCAAATTTTATATCGGGCATACCGTTTGAATTTTCCAACAGGTATCGTGATCCATCAGGTGATGTAAGTAAATGTGTTGCAGACAGATTTTGGCTAGGAGGGATGCTAAAAGGAAACAAAATTTGAATATATGCATGTAAATGTATTTAAATAACTATATAATTATACCTAAGCAGATCCTTAGAATCAATGCTCTCCCATGACATGACAAGCTCCTTTGTTCTTAATCTATTGGGATCGCACTGAAAATAATAAATAAATGATAAATCGTAATGATTGCTTTTGTCCTCATTTTTTGTCGGTTTTATTAAAAACCATCCCAAATGTTTTTTTAATTTAAGGATATATATTAATGAGATTCCTCAATTTTTGACAAACTATATATTTCTAGCTATTTCGGTGAGTAAAAGACGAGACCCAGTAAAAATTTATATGGTCCAAAAATTTGAAACAAAAAGAAACAATCTATCTTTGCTGTTCTTAAAAAAAACGAAATGTTCAATATTCAAATATATATTGTATGCGTATATGCTTAAACACAAAGAAGCTAAATTTTTCGACCTTCAATATGATAAATTCGTTAGATTTTTTCAAAATTGAAAACAATTGAATCTGATAGATTAAATAATCATAAAGTTTCGCGTTTTATAAATTCGTTAGATTTATACAAAATTGAAAACAATTAAATCTTATAGATTAAGTAATCATAAAGTTTCGTTTTTTATTAACCATCATGACAAATTTATAAGAATACGATATTTTTGGTGAAGGTAAGAACGCCCCCCTACAACACTGTATGTAAAAATAGGGGAAAATCGATTAAAAACGAAAAAAATTGCTGCTGGTTACAATTCAAAAAATTTAAATTTGTTTCTTAATTTTTAAATCTCGTATTTCCGTGGATTTAGTTGCTTAATAGTAAGTAATGTTTAAAAACCAATTATAAAAAAACAAAAAAGGAAAGCTAACTTCGGGCGGAGTCGAAGTTGATATACCCTTGCAGAATATTCTGTAAATTATATTCTCCAAAATTATTCATATGATGTATTCTTAATATTCATAAAAAATCCCAACTTCCTAACTTCAAAAACACCAAGGTTATGGCATTTCCAATCGTTCAGTTACTTGGCAGCTATTGAATACAGTCGGTCGATCCTTATGAAATTTGGTAGGTCGGATTGATTATCCAAAAATAAAACCCGTAGAAAATCCAAACTACCTAACTTTAAAAACACCAAAGTTAGTGCATTTCTGATAATCAGCTATAGGATATAGTCGTTCCGACATATATACTGCGTGCAAAGGAAAGAAGGGTGTGTGAAAAGTTTCAATTCGATATATTTAAAACTGAGAGACTAGTTCGCGTAGAAACAGACAGACGGACAGACGGACATGCTTATATACACTCACGACGCGATCCTGATCAAGAATATATATACTTTAAAGGGTCGAAGATGTCTCCTTCACTGCGTTGCACACTTTTGACCAAACTTATAATACCCAATGCAAGGGTATAACAACAAAGTTATACTTAAAAAAAAAATTGTTTCGATTGTTCCTATGGGAGCTATATGATTTAGTCACCCGACCCGGCTCGTTCCGACTTTTATACCACCTGCAATGGAATAATAACTTTTGGGAAAGTTTCAAGCAGATAGCTTTAAAACTGAGGGACTAGTTTGAGTAGAAACGGACGAAGGGTCGGACAGATGAACAGACGGTCAAGAATACTTTATATGTATACTTTATATATATATATATATTATATTACTTTATATGGACGAGAAACTTCCGTCTCCTTCACTTTTGACTGAACCCTTTGCAAGGGTATAAAAAGGGTTATCAAATTTTACAACCTATCGCAAAGCAACTAGTTTAGTTTTAAATACTTTTTTTTAGGAGTGGCAAATATTTTTTAACCATTCTAGTCAAAATGTAAGCACACTTTTAGCTAGTTGTACAACAGTTTGATTTTCATACTTGTTGACATTTTACGTTTCTACACAATTTAAGAATAAGTTTTTCAAAAACGTTTGTACTTGATATAAGTAACTGTTATTCTCGGTTTTTGACTAGAAGCGTTTATAAATTTAGTTTATTTTCACAAAAAACCTTTTAAAAACCAAAACCATTTTTTCTGCTTATAAAATTTGATTGATTTAAGGTAGAGCTTGCTGACCAAGATAATAATAATAAAATTTTGTTGCGCTTTACTTTTGTTTTTCTTGATTTATTATATTCAAATCAAAGCAAAAAGCAGCTGTTTTTTTATTGTGAATGATAAGTATTGTTTATTTATATTTTATATTTTCAAATGTGCAATATGAGTCCCTTTTGCTGTAATTTTTATAAAACAGAAAAGGAAAATTAATTTAGATAGCGCTCTACACAATTATTATCCTATTACACTGAGTTTCCTTGCGTACATATTTAATTATTAATTATTTAGTCTCTATAGCGTATTATATATGTATTAATGCCCAGTTAACTCGTATTTTGACGTCACTCCTTGTACCTTGAGCCAGCCTTAAGTCGTTTTTTACGCAGAATATGCGTTTTGAGTGACCTTGCAAGAATACCACTTTAAAAGAAATTTGCTGAACACTCATCCGTATATTTTTAAAAACATTATTTACGTACATATAGAACACTTAGTTCTGAAGGATTCTTAATGCATTGCTCCGAAAAATTACTATCCCTTTTATAGTTAATCACATCTCTGCAGAACCCGTACGAATGGGGATAAATCTGCTTTGACTTTGGGCGTCCGACAAAATACTAGTCCTGGTTAGACTGTAAAGCATAATTTTCTTGGTCTGATTGGTGGTGAGTTTCTATCTACAGCAGGAGTCTGCGCCGTAGTGGCTCGAGAAAATCATTTTGTTGTTGATTCGGTGGTACCATTTACAACCAGTCCTGGTGGGAACTGTGTATTCTAAACTGAGCCTGTATTCCGGACCCTTATTTCAAAATTGTAAATTTTGACCGGGCGGAAATACAGATATGGCTTTCACAAGTTTATAATATTTGTACTTAATATAGTCTAAAACCTTTACACGAACTTAATATAAGCATTTTACTCGATAAGTAACAGGCATAAAAACTTCTTTTAATAAAGATTTCATATGTAAAGGGTGTTGAACTTTAAATTTCAATAAAACAACGATGGATTATTCTATTTTTTTTTTTTTTATTATTTAACTTTGTTTTTATTTATTGAATCTTCTCTTAATTTTGAGACTAACAATAAGTTTACGAATCTTAACATTAAAATTTTACTAACAGTATAATAAGACTGCATTCTGGTTGCGCGTCCCTCAAGTCGGTCGCTGGGTGGGTAAGTCAATGCGACGAAGGCGTGATTGGTTGATCAACCTTGTAAGAGCTCTCGCCAGGTGGTTAGGGTGCAACGATAGTTTGGGAAAGTACTTTTCCTTCTGTTCTGCGATCACTTCTTTGACTGGTAGAATGTTTAAGTCGCGATGTAAGAGCTAGCTGCGCAGTTGCTTGCATCGGGCATTTTAAGCGGCTGAGAATGGCTGTATCATCAGCAAACGTAGATGTTGTTAGTCGTGTGCTTGTTGGGATGTCTGCTGTATAGTGGACTTGAGGAACTCCAGCTCCAATAGTAAAATCGTCAGTTATAGCAGTGTTGCATCGAACAGAAAATTTTCTGTCGTAGAGGTAGGACTCTAAAAGCTAATGGGTGTTGTAGGGGAGCGTTGTCTTGATCTTGTACATTAGACCTTCTAGCCAAACTCTATCAAATGCTTGAGAGACGTCTAAAAATATGGCAGTACAGTACTCTCGTTTTTCAAACGCGTTCCGAATTTCTGATGTTATCCGGTTGACCTGGTCAATTGTTCCGTGCTTTTCACGAAACCCAAATTGATATGACGGAATCCCTTCCTGGATTGTTAGGTATGTGTTTATCCGAGTCTAACGCATTTTTCAAAGAGTTTAGATAAGCATGAGAGTAGGCTTATAGGTCTATACGACGTGGGAATTGTGTGGTCTTTGCTATCATTTTTATAATCGACTTTTTCCATCTCACTGGAAAGTGGCCAAGTTTTGCGATGGCATTAAAAAGCTGGGAGCTCAATGATCATTTTGGGAGTTATGAGGTCGCAGCCCGGGGATTTTTTCGGATTCAGCTGATTTTTGATGATGTTAACGATTTCGTTTGGGCGAAACTCAATTGGCTCATGTTGAAGCTGAGGCTCATATGGTAAAGTCAAGGCAAGGTGAACGCACTAGTGGCAGGATTTGGTTGGAAGACATTTTTAAGGTGGTTGGCAAACGTGCTGGCTCTGTCTGCATCGCTGCGCGCCCAGCCGCCTGTGAGATTTCTAATAGGCATCACGGTTATTTTCGGTGAACTTAGAGTAGGGTGAGCTCTCCATAGTGAGTGTTTTGTGCTAGATGTTGACAATTGCTCTATGTAGCGTCGGTGGACATGTCCTTCTTCTTCGTGTAAAGCTTTTGTGAGTTGACGTGAGGCATATTTTAAGCTTTGCCTAGCAGATGGTGATCTGTGGAGTTGCCACTCTCGACGTAAGCGTCGCTTTTCGAGGACGAGCTGTTCTATTTGTAGATTTGTCTTCTTTTGGTTGCTTTGCGTACTTGTAGTTTGGGGTGTTGAAACTCGAGCTGCAGAGACGAGTACAGACTCCAGTGTATTAACAAATCTGTCTACGTTAGCTTCATCGTTAAGATGAGGACTTAGCTCAATGTGTGAGCTAATGTATTTCTTGTACTTAACCCAATTGGTTTTCTGTGATGTCAATTTCAACGATTGCTCCAATGCGCCTGGATGTCGGAATAGAATAAACAGGACAGGCGAGTGATCAGATGAAAGATCCGAGAGGCATTCGGCGCTTATCAGATTTTTAGGAATGTTTTTGGTAATTGCAAGGTCTATTAAATGGGGTAGTTTCCTTGGGTCTGCCGGCCTGTATGTTGGTCTGCCAGGAGAAACATAGTCCAGCTTGTTCTTGGCTTTTATAACTGCATTATAGAGCTGTTTTCCTTTTGGAGTCACGAGACGTTATCCCCAGTGTGTGTGCTTGGCGTTGTAGTCCCCTGCTGCTATGAAGTGGTCTCCTAATGAGTTGAAAAACTGCATAAACTCATTTTCGGCTATAGTAAAGCGAGGGGGGCAGTATATGGCGGCTAGTGTAAGTTGGTTCCCAGTATTTATTTGTATATTTATAGATGTGGCCTGTAGGTAATTTTTAGCAAATTTGTTATTATTATTATTATTTGTTATTTGAATTCCAGTCCCACCATGTGCTTTACCATCTGGATGATTTGTTCCGTAGAATGCATAACCTCGTAGTTGAAAATTGTATTTGTTTGTAAGGTGTGTTTCTGAAAGCAGCATTACGTCGATATGGTTTTCGAGTAGGAATTGAGCTAACTCAAGTTTATGCTGTGAGACGCCGTTAGCGTTCCACGTAGATATCCTTAGGGAAGTCATTATTTGAATTGTTGTGAAACCAGCATTTAAATCAATAGATTTTGGTTTCGCATTAAATCTTGCATAGTTGTGCGCATAAACGACATAAACTCCATAAGGCTTTGCTGCAGGCTGTATATCATATCTTCAAAGTTGCTTTTTGACTGCTCCGGGAATTGTTGCTGCTGAGCCGTGTTCGGTTCTTGGTATGCTGATTGCAGAAATGAACTTTTTGAGACCGGGTTAGCCAGTCCTGATTTTAAAGCGCTTGCGTAAGTCACATTTTTATCAGAGTTTAAGGGTCCTAGTGAGGATCTGTCTGCAGTCGAGAAAAAGACTTCAGGGTTTGACTGGAAGGTGTCATCTGTTTATTTTGGGTGCGGGCGGCAGTTCCTCTCTGGTGGATGCGACTTTTCAGCTCCTTATAAACAGGGCAGCCTCTGTAGTTAGCAGTGTGATTGCCACCGCAGTTGCCGCACTTTTTCGAGTTGCAGTCATCTTTGCTCGCTGGGCAGTGTGCGGAGTCATGAAGATCTCCACAAACTACACACACCGGGCGCAGCTTACAGTATGACCTTGTATGGCCATATTCTTGGCAGTTCGCACATTGTACATGGCCAGTGCGTTTGTGCGGTTCCTCAACTGTAATTCTGCGGTGCAGCAGGAACTGAAGATTGTAAATGGGGTGCACTTCGTATTTCTTTAGGGGCTTATTTTCTGGTTCGAGCTCAACCTTAAAGAGTGGCTGCGGCTTTCTATCCCTGATTAGGATGTTGAAGACTGTCTTAGCGTTAAATCCCTTCTCTTGAAGCGCCTTTGTTATCTCTGCAGGCGTTACGTCGGATCTTAAGTACGACTTGCAGGACCTTGCTTCTTTTTAGCTGATACGTGTAAAAGTTCTTTTTATTCTCGGAAAGATATTTCGATAATACTCTGTAATTATCTTCAGACTTCATTTGAATCTTTGTTTCTTGGATGTTGCCCTTTACTAGAGGTATTATGTGGAAGTTATCCTTTCAAATAAGCTCGATAATTTTGTTGACAAGAGGTTTTGGCTTCCTTTTCTCGACTTCAGTGGATTCGGCCGCCTCAACGTCATTGGCCTATTCCAAGATTTTAAATCGGTTTGAGTTCATTGGCGTTTCTAGCATTCTAGCTAGCATTGTTACGGGTTATTTTGCGTTGAGAATTTAGAGGGCTCAGCTTCCTTTTGATTTGGATGTAGCGATCCATACCAGTCTGCACAGCCGGCTTAGCAAATTCATTGATTTTGTTCTGTTTTTCGGGCAGCGCAGCGGCAGACGTATTAATATTTGCGCTGCTAGCTGATGATGTCATTAAACGCACAGTCGATACGGTTGCAGTTGTTGTTGTAGTTACAGTTGATGTAGTTAAAGAAATTGCGGTGCTAGTTACTGCTGATGAGCTTAGGTTATTGCATACCTGCATTGGAGCACTTTCAGCGCTCTTTGGCCGCAGAGGCGTCGATGGTAGCGAGGGGGAGCAAGAACGCGCTCTCTCGCTCGCTACGTTTAAGAACTCGGTCAAGTTGGGGGTAATTTTCCGCGCTTGATCAGAGCTTGCATTATTTTCGGTTGCTTTAAAAGAGAAGTACGCGTTTTTCTTTGTACTGAGAGCCGTCTCTCGTCTTGCTCACGTTGACGTTGTCTGCGAACGTCATTACGGAACGGATTATTCGATTGTCATGAATTTTTTTTTATTTGAAAGATAATTTTGTGGCATTACATTTTAAATATGATTTCTGGCTCGGATGTAGTCCAATTTGGACGTCCAATTTTCGATGACTTTTTCCAACATTTGTGGCCGTACATCGGCAATAACACGGCGAATGTTGTTTTCCAAATGGTCAAGCGTTTGTGGCTTATCCGAATAGACCAATGACTTTACTTAGCCCCACAGAAAGTAGTTAAACCACAAGATCTTGGAGGCCAATTCTCAGGTCCAAAACGTGAAATTAGCCGGTCAGCAAACGTGTCTTTCAGTAAATCGATTGTGGCACGAGCTGTGTGACATATTGACTGTAACGTTCTGGCCATCACCGTTTTTGAAGAAGAACGGACCAATGATTCCACCAGCCCATAAAGCGCACCAAACAGTCAGTTTTTCTGGATGTAACGGTGTTTTGACATACACTTGAGTTTTAGCTTCACTACAAATGCGGCAGTTTTGTTTGTTGACGTAGCCATTCAACCAGAAATGCGCTTCGGGCACAATGGCAATCTTGTTTTGGGCCTATTCGACGAATCTACACCTTGCTTGATGATCGTTTGGCTTCAATTCTTGCACGTTGGATTTTGTAAGCTCGCAAACCAAGATCCTTCCGCAAAATCTTCCATAAAGTGGATGGACATGGATTCAATTCCTGTGCTCGATGGCGGATGGACTCATTCGGGTCTTATTCAATGCTACGCTCTACAGTAGCAATAGCTTCTTCTGTACGCACGGTACGGAGTCTCTGGGGATGCAAATTATCAATAAGAGTAAACGTGGTGCGAAAACGTTCCATGGTTAATCGAATTAACTGCTCTGATGGACGATTTTGTCGACGATAAAATGGACGTAGTGCGCGATATGTATTCCGCACAGAACCATTATTTTCGAAAAAATGTTTAACTATTTGCAAGCGTTGTTCAGGCGTGAGTCTATTCATGATGAACATAGAGTAAGAAACTATATAGAGGTTTCATTTGCTCTGCCCGCGCTCTCGAGTGACTTTGCCAGTGATGCCACGTAGGGGAAAAACGGAAAAAAAGAGAGTTTTTCATTTGTTCGAATCGAGCTTCATTCCATGCCCATGGTGAATTCTTAGTGCTGCACTGGTCGCTCTTATTGCTAAGGATTGGTGCGAAAACTCCCCATACTATTGCTTGTGCTTCGCACATGTTAGAAGAGGTGAGAAACCGAAGTTAGAAGAAGTTAGCTTCGAACATGGCTCTCAGCAGAGCTTTGGCAGAGGCCCGGGCAGAGCAAATGAAACCTCTATATAGTTTCTTACTCTATGATGATGAATTGCCAAACCAAACTGAGAATAAATCGCTTGACAGCTGTTAAATCGGTCGCCATCTTGAACAGTAATACCAACATAAAGTTCTATAGTACTCAGATCGACAAACGAGTTTACTAGCGTAAAAACGTTAATATTTCCAGTGTGACCAAAATTTCGAGAGTTCATCAGAATTAAGCGTGCTACGGTCGTACTGTCAACCAGCTGGGTTTCTTGACAAGCTAAAGTTCAAAAATCGTATTTGTGTTTAGAAGATATTATCAACTACCTTGGCAAGACAAGTCTGCCGCTGTACAAACTAATTAAGAAACAGTACAATTTAAATTTAACAATTGTTTGTTTTAATTTACTGATAATTATTTGCTAGTTTAAAGTTTAATTTAAAGTTTATTGTGTTTTTTCGTACATTTTTGAACTAAGAAACATTTTGCTCTGACAAGAGGCACCCCAGATAGTATTAATGTTATTTTGTCCTCACATGTACTCATGTCCCTCCTGCAATCGACTTTTGCGGGTTTTTTTATCTTTCCCTCCATTTTTTAAAATGTTCAGTGAGAAGCGCACGCTAAAAGATTAAATTTTTTAATCTTTTCGCTAGGGTTCACCCAAAGTTCATTTTCGCAGACTGGCAACGATATGCAATTTTCTGGTATTTTTTCGTCGATCTGAGGACCGAGGTGAAAAAACCCTTGACGAAAAGTGTACGCCAGCTGTTTGCCTCTCGCTCTCTCTCATGACTGGCGTACAGTTTTCGTCGATCTGAGTACTAGGCTTATTTATGCCTCTAAAATAAACACCCTTTATAAGCATTTACATTTATATGACTTCCATTGTGAATGACATTGAACTTTATCTGAATTCCTCGAGTTTGTTAGAATTTATTATTGTAATCAAAATTGTCAACAAAATAGGACGCACTTTTCATAAAAATGTGTAATTTTTATGTTATTAAATTGCACCTTTTTTACATGTTGGGTATCTTGTGCTTTAAAATGCGTTGTGAACTGGAGAGATTCAAGTTTTTCCGTTGGCAAACTTGTTTTTCGATCTGAGTAGGTTGAAGGCTTTTCTTAATATTAAAATGCACTCATTAAATTTGTTAATGTAGTGGTCTAATGCATTTTTGTATGTGAAATAATGTTAAATAGTTCACATGTACATGTAAATGTTATTCTTAATATATACGCAATCGTATAAAAGCAAAAAGATTAACTTAAGTTTATAAAAAACATTTCAAAAATTAATGGGGAATAATTGCTTTTTCTAAATCATTTATTTTATTAGTTTTTGGTTTCAGATGTTCTACGAAAATAAAAAACTTGTAATAATGGTTTATTCTTCTTTAAATATTAAATACACTTTTAAGTCCTTTAAATCGATTCTCTTTATGTACCTGTCCATTAAAAACAGTACTAACTTCCGACATTCTTGTATTTGTACACCACAAAAATACAAATACCAATTCGCGTTATGTAAAATCTGAAACTTACCTAATCACATATTTTATGTGTGTGCCGATTAAGTTTGATAATATCCAGGTCCTTGAAAACAAATTCTTTTTTCATTCCAAAATCATGTTGGAAAAAAATATATTAATTACATACAAAAAAATTTGTAAGTATACTTTTTGAATCGAAAAATTTTGGCACCAAGTAGAAGTTTGAAGAAATTTATTCTCAAGGTTGAAAAAATGTGAATTTTGATAATATCTGAACTTCAAATTAATAACATTACCAACATCATTGTTTAACAAGAAAGGAAAGCTAACTTCAATCGGAGCCGAAACTGATAGAATATTTCAGAATATTCTGTAAATTATATTGGTTGGCCAAAAATAAAACCCATACAACATACCAACTTCCTAACTTTAAAAACACCAAAGTTATGGCATTTTCAATAAAACCCATAGAAAATCCCTACTTCCCAACTTTACAAACACCAAAGTTATAGTATTTCCGATCAATCGGTTATGTGGGAAATTCTATGGGTTTTATTTTTGGCCAATCAATCCGACCTTTAAAATTTCATAAGGATCGGCCGAATATAACTGATCGATTGGAAATGCCATATCTTTTGTGTTTTTATAGTTAGGAAGTTGGCATTTTCTATGGGTCTTATTTTTGGCCAACCAATATAATTTACAGAATATTCTGCAAGGGTATATCAACTTCGGCTCCGCCCGAAGTTAGCTTTTGTTATTTTTCAAACTGTGCTATAATCTTATAATTTTTTGAAAACAAATATTCAAAAGTCGAATAGTCATTCTCCTGTAATTGAGGTTTGAAAATTATCAAAATTGTACATTTTTGGAACTAAATGCACTTTTTTTTCAAAACGCAGGTGTGCACGAACATTTTTGTGACTTGCATTCAGGACACCGAATTCTATTAGAAATGTATTCGTTTATTAATGTACATTGTAATTATGTACATATCTAATAGCTAATAATAATTATAATTGCCAGTTATCCTTCTTTATCATTTACTGAATAAATTTGAAGTAAATATCGGATCTCAGTTTACCTTTATTAGCTCCAAACCATTTGAAAAACGTTTGGTTTATATTTTGGCAACTATGTTTTGGAGAAATTGCAATAAGACTTCATCCGCACCAAATTAAATTCGCTTACTTTTCGGCGCATTTATATTTTCAGGCAACGTTAATTGTTCCCAACAGTAACATTCTGAACAACCGGCCCCAAAAACTCCACTATTCGAAAATTTCGATCGGTGTATAGCTCGTTCCGCACGGACTCAGTGAAAATTAAACAATTTTGTGATGTGAAGGCCCAAAATAAATTTAATATATTTAATTTAAAATTAGATGTAAATTCAAAATTTTTTTATTTTCATTAATATATTTTATCATCTGCATGTCACATCTCCATTATTACTTGATGCTTGGCTATCTGTTATGCTCATACATAGTTTTTGTCATATGCACTTGCTTATGTTACTCCTTAAACCGTCGTATAAGTAGATATAAATATGCTGAGCTACTATTAAAAACTACAATATACTCTTCTCTCCGGTAACATACAAATACAAGTGTTTACTAGCGTGAATGCATAGTGTAATAAATTGTTGAATTCAATTAAATCAAATCAAATTAGTCGGCCTTGTGTTTTGCAATTTGATTTGGGTTGTCTCATTATGTTTACAGTTGTTTTGTTCATAGTCATTGTATTCTTAGAAATAAAATGAGAATTTATATTTTTTGTAAACGATACAGAGCCGTCTACCTATGTCAAACAGGATTCAATTTAATTTTTAATTATAATTATGTTATTATTCAAATTCCAAATTAAAACGACTCAGTTATTCGCCACAATATATACTAATTTCGTTCAGTTAAAATATTAAATTTATTAAAATAATAAATAATCCAGTATTAATTATAAATTTTTTGCGCCAGCACCTATTACAAAAACTTAATAAGAGTGCATTTAAAAAAGTTTTAAATATAACGATCTGAGAATGTTTTGGTGTATGCCTTTTTATGATGGTAGCGTGAAAAAAGCATTGTCCTAGACGGAAATGAAGGTAGGTTAGGGGGAACATAGTTTGTTTACTATCGCAAACAACGCGGCCGAATGTTTTTAAATATCAAGTTTTTTGTGAGCATCTGCTTTTCAAATTTAAAAAAGTTGCTCGCATATAAAACTGTTTGTATGTAATGTGTGCTGTATGAATATGTATTATCCTAACGACTCATTATATTATTTTGACTCTTGTCTTATTATGTACTTAGTTACGGTTCTATTGTATGAATCTATGTATGTTTGTTTGTAGTATGTAATGTTGGTTGTAAGTATGATATTAAGTATTTGATTAAGTAACAGTACGGTCCGCATTTATATTTTATCTGTCAAGGTAAGTAGCTTATAATGTTACAAAATATAAAAGTTGTAACTTTATAAACCATCATTACCTATACAGCAAGTGTCGGGTACAGGCCTAAGTAGAGCAATGCATATTTTTAAGGTATTCACTCATAGAATGGGACTGAATTCAGATTTTGGTTGTTACCGTTGGATCGTAATAAATTCGGTTTAGTGTTCAGGTTTGCTGTGGCAGTACACGAATACAATTCGCCTAGAGTTCGAAAATTCTGGAAATTTAAAGAATTTAATTTTTAAGGCAGAATTGCAGTAGGTTAACTAGCACAGATTTATGAAACAAAGAGAAAACACGAAAAACATAAAGAAGCTTACACTAAATGCACAATAAACGTGTTATATTTAAATTTAATCGCAAAAAATCAAGATTTGAGATTTCATCCCAAAGATGAAATATGGGATGTAGCTGTTTCCTGGGTCTTGAATTATAATTTGTAAATAGTTAACTCGCTGTGGCAAATTTTGTTCTGCCTACATTTTTAACACATGTTTGTCGGACTAAATTATAGACACGCTTATGTAATCACGCTCTAATGTATCGTATTATTTACTATATATAGACTATTTATAATTGTAACCTTTTAATTTTCACACGAAGGTAGCACAAGATGCCTCAATATATTTTTTATATTATAATTTTTTTTTATCATCCCCTTTTTTTTATTTATTTTCAATTTTTAGTTAAGTTATATTAAATTTACAAAGTTTTTAACGTTTCACCTAAACATTTCTTGTATATAAGTAAGTATGTGTATGATGTATGTATATACATATATATTTTATTTAATGTTAAGAATCACTTCTCTATACTGTTGGCTCATTTACAAAATAAAATGGTATTATTTCAAATGAAAACATTAAAATAAAACAAAACAAATAAGAACATAAAACTTATAGTTGAGTTCTTTGAATTTCACCTTTACCATATTCAAAATACCTACCACGATTTTAAATATACATCAATGCATACTAAACACACATACAAATTTCATTTGATCTTACACGATTATACATATGCGTAGTCATCTTCAATCTCCATTATACTGTCTTTGAATGACTTATACCTAATTTTATACGTGCTTTCTTAATAAGCGTTTCTAATTATTTTTTTGTTTTAACTTCAGTCGAAATACCCTTCGTACATGTGCTTGCACGAGGATTAAATAATATTAAGTTTGTGGATTTTTCAAACATTTTTGGGGCTTCAGATTTCCAGTGATAAGATTAATTCTAATCCACTTAAGCCATTCCGAGGGCATGCGATTCTCTGTGTTTTAGTATATTTTTACTATTAATTTGGACATTTCATTCAATATGTTCTTAGATAATACAAGAGAATGTCGGAATGATAATTTTAACTGGCAAATAAAGCTATAGCTGCAAAGATTTAATAATCGCTACATCGCCTTATAATTTTTGCGTATGCTTGTAAATAATATTATTTACGCGCACATACCCCAAATAGTGATTTCAAAAAAACCAGAAGGACACAATTATAAGGAGGACAGTCGACATAGTGGCTAGGCACTTGATGGTGGTAAATGCATAGCTAAATTGCTTGTACCTGGCCCTCTGTATTGCAGCTGATCTGTTTCGCAATAGCATTCTGCTATCCTCCTTCTTTTCTTAATCGGTATCAGTTACATCTAGACCACTATATTTAACTGTTGATGTACTTGATATATTTAATTTGTTTACTTATTAATTCTATTTCACCTTTCTCCTTTCTAGCTGATCTATTATATTAAATTTTGAGTCAGATTAACTCGTTCAATTGCAATTACATTTCCAAATCAATATCAGTAAGCATATCATGTGATTCCAACCTTTCCAGTCCACTACTTTTTATGACTAATTATTTTAACATAGTTGGAGCGGAGTGACAAAAATTATTGAGTGATATTGGTATTCTTAAAAAATAAATGTTAACCAAGGGAACACAAAATTTGTTGTTCGTTACAAATTCACCTATCATATCCGATAGTGGCGGGTTTGGAGTCAAAAAAGTTGTTGCTAAAAGTTGGACTGATAACTATCATTCCAGGTTTATAGGGCTGCAACGTGGTTTGCAGCGCGTTTTCAACTAGATAGTGGATTCCGAGGATTGCAGCAATGCTTAGTACTAAAGATGAGTTTAGCCAATATACAGACAAACAGCATTCAAAAGACGGCAGTGGGAAAGATGACAAGGGCCAAATCCACAAAGCAAAGAAGTGGCTATCTGCTGGCGCTGCAGCACTATTGTACGTGAGCTCTTCGTTCTTTACAACCTCATTGGGATGTTTGTTGTAATGGTGGTGGTCATCTGAAATTAATTTCGATTATTAATATACGTACAACTTATTTCAAATCCAAAACATTTTTATAAAACATATTATTCAAACTTCTTTCTAAGAAAAAACAACTTTTAACGGTCTCGATATTTATATTTTTGGTTTAGCAGGATTACTTTTGGCCCTTAAACAAACTATCTGAAAATTTTTTACAGAATTGCCATATCCAACAAATTATGTTGTCGAACTCAACATTCGTACGTATTTAAAGCAAAAGACGGAACCATAAATAATGAAATTAAATCAAAACAAGAGAGAACGCTATAGTCGAGAGCCTTGACTATTAGATACCCGTTACTCAGCTAAACAACTTTAGATTTTGCATTAACATAATGTGAATTAGAGTGACCACAGGAAAAAAGGACAAAAAGTTCAAATTATCAATTTGAATTAGGCGATCTCTTAGAGCTGGCAACTTTACAGCACGAGCATCAGCACCAGCGCTGCTTTAGCGAAGGCAGCTTTTATCCTGCACCAGCATACACACATACGCCATTGTTTGACTCAGACCTCCAATTTGGCTAACTTGATTTGATTTGCATAGTTCTTGGGATATAGTTCGGTATTGACAAATGAAAACCATCGCAATTTCCTTTAATAGAAATCCTTATCGAGAATTAACGTTGACTCTGTTGAGCACCTTGGCCAGCTGTTCCAAAGTCATCCGTTAAATGGCGCTAGTGTATTGCGGAAATGTAGGCGCTAGCCAGGCTTAAGCGTTTAATGAGTTTTTGGGCGTTAGAGTGGGCGTGGCAAACTTTTTAAACAAACTTGCGCTGCGTAGGAACTCCTAAAATCTACATGCAAAATGACAATCTTCTAGCTTTTATAGTTTCCGAGATCTCAGCGTTCATACGGACAGACAGACGGACAGACAGACGGACAGACGGACATGGCTAGATCGACTCGGCTAGTGATCCTGAACAAGAATATATATACTTTATAGGGTCGGAAACGCTTTCTTCTACCTGTTACATACTTTTGCACGAATACAATATACCCTTTTACTCTACGAGTAACGGGTATAATTAACTGGAAAAAGTTCCATTGATTATTTCGATCGAATCTTACAAAAAAAAAAACATATTTTTAATAATATAACAGGAAAAATCAGTCAAGTCGCGACAATTTTTTTAATATGTTAATAAAATTAAACAAAAACGCACTTCCACCATACAAAGTTATTGATATCAACTTTTGGGACGAAAAATAATTAGGCACTCGACTAAATAAATACTTATTTTTAAAATTTTTTCTTTCATCCCGTTAATTCGTCAAAAAAAAGGCATATTTTCGAGAATTTTTCACACGATACGGTTAATGTCAGATCAATTATTTTATAAGCATATCAAAGTACAACATTTATGATATGCTTTCACAAATTTTCATCGAAAAAAAATACATGAGCCGTTCGCAGCCAAGCTCGTAGGCGTCTCCAAGAAAAAAGGTTTTGCGGTGAACAGCATAATTCCTTACTGGATCATCAGAAAAAACAAAAAAAATTATTCATTAGTTAAGATGTTGCTCAAGGTAACTACGATGAGTTTTTTTTATTCAATTTTTGGATTTTTGATACCACTTTAAAGTCAAAAACGTGATTTTAGCATAAAAACGTCAGTAACTGCGGATTTAGGTACAGAAATTGTGTGCAATTTCAAAACGATTTGTCCAGTAGATTTTGCAGGATCGTGTTCATCGACTTTGGAAGGGCAAAAAAAAAAATGTAAATACCATAATTTATTACCCCAAATAGAAAGACAACTTTTTGGAAAGTTTCAAGTATATAGCTTTAAAGCTGAGGGACTAGTTTGCGTAGAAAGGAACGGACGGACAGGCAGACGGACGGACAAAGCTAGATGGACTCTCGGTGTGATGCTGATAAGAATATATATACTTTATAGAGTCGGAAATGTCTCCTTCACTGCGTTGCAAACTTGCAAAATTATAATACCATCTACAAGTATATATAGAGGACGGAAGATAACCCTTGCAGACTTTGCCGAAATTGCTAAAACTGAAAATGTAGCGAAAGGAATAAGGTATACATAAATAAACTAAATATGCATCGTTTGATGCCAATTGCTTTTATACTGCAAAAATGTCATATAAAAATAGAAAAAAAGGGATACTTTCGCAGCCTTTAACAATTTTTCCTACGGAAGCTACAAGATATAGACGTCCGATCGGCAAGCGCTTTTATCCTAATCAAGATATGCGTAAATAAACAAGACTTGGAAAAATTTATGTCAGTAGCTCACACACCGCGAAAAATTCTGAAAATCATCAAATTTGGACCGATTTCACCCTATTGTTCCCATGGGAGCTATAGGATATAGACGTCCGATCGTCACGCACTTTTACCCTAATCAAGGTATGCATAAAAAAATACGATTTGGAAAGATTCATGTCAATTGCTTATATACTGTGCGAAATATCCTAAAAATTATTAAATTTTAACCGATTTCACCCTATTGTTCCTATGGGAACTGCGCGAAATATCTTCCATTCTTGCAAGTTATATCCCATTGTTCGTATGGGAGCGGTTTTTAAACTTGATCTGCGTACACATGTTTTAGGACGACTGTGAAAGTTTCAGATCGCTAGCTTTTAAACTGAGCTCGCAAACGGTGTTGAAACAGACGGACAGACGGACGGACGGACAGACGTACATGGCTATATCGAATCCTCTATTGATACTGATCAAAAATATATATACTTTATGGGGTCGGAAACGTCTCCTTCACTGCGTTACAAACTTTTGACCAATATTATAATACCCTCTGCAAGGGTATAAAAATAAGAAAACAGTCACTTTTAATTTCTTGTAGGGTAGGGTGTATTTTTTTAACTCCAATTTTAAGAAGATAAGATAGCTTTGGCAATCCAAAATTTTTAAAACTGTTGCAGTTGTACCCAAAGTTAATAATGAGTTTGCCCAGTTCATTCCCTATCGACTTTTTAAAAGTGATTAATATATACTGCTCGAATACTTTTTAGTTTCTATACTAGCACCATCAGTTATTCTCGTTTAATTTATTTCTGATCCTTAAGTTCCTATGGTTTCACATGCGCTTTGATTGTTGGGCCTTAGTTTTATAAATATCTTATAAATTAAGTAAAAAGGTTAAGTGCTTCAGAGCCTACATTTTTTTCTATCCTGTTACCTCATATATTCTGGCCATTACTTACCATTCCCGTTAGTATTGCTGTCAGCATTACCCTTATGAGGTGGATAGCTGTTGTGCGTCGGCACATTGTTTATTCGGATCCCTGTTTGGATGTGGTGATGTCCGGGGTAAGCTACATTTATTCCACCGCGTCCCGGTTGCAACATATTAATGTTGCCGTGACCATGGCCTGGAGTTAATACTATTCCACCACCACCAACCATTCCAGGTCCTAGAGCGTTATTTCCCACATTGTTACCAATTATGTTTGGTTGAATCGGTATTCGGTTAAACTGGTCAATGTTTGAATTAATAGTAGTTGCTATGCCATTTATATTACTATTGCCGTTGATCGGATTGATTGGAATTCCTGCGGATTGTGGTCCTCCTGGAATTAGTCCTCCACTCATTCCAATGTTGGTTCCAATAGCTATGGAGTTGCCTTGTCCGCGGACTTGACTTTCATCACTAGCTGCTATATTAACACTGATGGTTCCCCCAGTGTCTGCGCCTGATATAGATTTGTTTATCGGTGTGGTTCTGTTCTTGTCCTCGGCGGCACAACAAACTTTGAAGACTACTTTCATATTATTTGTAGAGCATCGACCCCCTATTCGTCGATATAAATCATCCTTGGATGAAGTTGCTATATTAAAAGTAGACAAAAAAACAAAACTTATTATTATTTGATCTTTAAATTAAAGTTATTTAAACGAACTCACAAATGAAGTAATAATCATTTCCAGGTAGGAACTCCAAACCACCTGGCTGCGGTGTAAATGGCCGGAAAGTTATTGTAAAAAACATTAATTTCTGAGGTTTATCACATATAGCTATTACTCGCGGATCTGCATTTGTTATACGACATGTTTCATACTCCACTTTAGACACATTGTAAATTATATATTTCTCAGTTTCGTTTTCAAAAGTCCCTGGCTCATAAACTGGGCATATTATATGCACCTGATCAAACTCAAATGCAAGATTGCCTTTATTAACATCGATTATGTGATCAGTGTTATCAATCCGAAATCTGTGGATTAGAATGTTGAAACATATTTTAAAATAATTAAATATGAAAGGCAGGTAACCATTTGAAGGAACTTTATAAATAAATGAGGAAGTTAGTTACTTATCAATCAAAATTTAAAATTATTAAAGGCGACTGAATTTTTATTAAAATATGTTAACGTATTTTTTGTTACTTCTACTTGTTTCAAACCCACTTATTACCCAAACAAGCTCTGCATAAAGAGGCAGAGTTACCCAACTAGAGATACAACATATGCGCGTACTGCATTCAAAAACTTTTAATTATACTGGTATATTAAAGTATCTGTATACCCGCCTACCCCTTTCAAAAAGATGCACCATGACAAAAAATTTAAAGTTAATTTAAACACATTCGTATATGATTTTATACACGTTTTATTGTATAAAACACTGGAATTGGTGCCAGGTCTTTTTGAGTGGTTTCTATGATTGTTATGCATTTTAGAAGCCAACCCACCACATCAAGTGACCTGGCAATCGTTTCGAAAGCTAACTTCGGGCGGAGCCGAAGTTGATATACCCTTGCAGAATACTCTGTAAATTATATTCTCCAAAATTATTCATATGATGCATTCTTAATACTCAAAAAAAATCCCAACTTCCTAACTTTAAAACAAGAGAGAACGCTATAGTCGGATGCCCCGACTATCAGATACCCGTTACTCAGGTAAAGGGAGTGCGAGGGAGATGGAGACTAGAAACTTTGATCACGCATAACTTTTTAACGAATGGTCCGATTTGAAAAATTACATATCTACATTTCGATAGGTATTGATAAACACAATAAAACTGCATTTTTACTTTTCCGAAATATTTAAATTTTTAAAATCGTATATAAGCGATTGTGGGCGTTAAAGGGGGCGTGGCACCATTTTGAAACAAACTTGCGCTGCGTAGGAACTTCTAAAATCTACATGCAAAATTCCAATCTTCTAGCTTTTATAGTTTCCGAGATCTCAGCGTTCATACGGACAGACAGACGGACAGACGGACAGACAAACGGACAGACGGACATGGCTAGATCGACTCGGCTAGTGATCCTGATCAAGAATATATATACTTTATAGGGTCGGAAACGCTTCCTTCTAGCTGTTACATACTTTTGCACGAATACAATATACCCTTTTACTCTACGAGTAACGGGTATAAACACCAAAGTTATGGCATTTCCAATCGTTCAGTTCTATGGCAGCTATAGGATATAGTCGGCCGATCCATATGAAATTTGGTAGGTCGTATTAATTGGCCAAAAATAAAACCCATAGGAAATCCCAGCTTTCTAACTTTACAAACACCAAAGTTATGGCATTTCCGATCAATCAGTTATATGGCAGCTATAGGATAAGTCGGCCGATCCTTATGAAATTTGGTACGTCGGATTGATTGGCCAAATATAAAACCCTTAGAAAGTCCCAACTTCCTAACTTAACAAACAGCAGAGTTATGGCATTTCCGATCAATCAGTTATATGGCAGCTATAGGATATAGTCGGCCGATCCCGGCCGTTCCGACTTATATACTGCGTGCAGTATAGAAACAGACAGACGGACAGACGGACATGGCTATATCAACTCAGGAGGTGATCCTGATCAAGAATATATATACTTTATAGGGTCGGAGATGTCTCCTTCACTGCGTTGCACACTTTTGACCAAAATTATAATACCCTCTGCAAGGGTATAAATATATGTTTCTCTTTGAGCTTTGAAGAAATTTTAGCTGAGTCTTATGCTTCTTAACTGAAACATATATAATTTTGTTTTAAGTAAGTCAATTATATTTTAAATTTTGTCAATATTGCTATCTATTTACTCATGGTGAAATTACTTAATTTTGTCTTTCAGTGTTGTAGTGTACTAAGTGGACTGTGCAGTGATAAAACTCTATTTGAAAGTTTCTTTCCTTAAATCTACTTTTGAAATTGTTGATATTTAATTGAAATAAAAATCGTATTTCAGGTCTTGGATTTAATTGTTATACTCACATGCTGTTCGATGTATTCCAATGCATGTAGAACGTTTTGGCGCAACTGGACATGGTTGAGAGCAAAACCGTCTCCATACAAATTAAAGTGAGCAAAGTAACGAAAGATGTTGCGCCAAATGTCGGAAATGGAATCATCATTTTGCATCTCACCGCTGTAGACTGAGTCGAAGAAAACAAGCGGCTTCGGTTTCTAATCCTGTTATTGCTGTTGTGCTGGTTTTTTGCAGCTTTTTTAATATTAGAGAAATGCCGCGATGCCTTTACTCCTATCCCTACAGAAGTTACTTCACATGTTTCGACAGATTCCAGTGCCAATGAATGCTTCGCGGAAGGATTATTTTCTCTTTCACTTGATGAATGAAGGGGCGAAAGGTTGCTGAAAGCTGGGAACTTGCTTTTACTTTTGGACTTTCGATGCATAGCTGGTTGTTGGTTTTTCGTCGTATTTAATGCCTTACTCCGTATACTTGGCATACTCTCAACACTCGCTGGCACGTATAACTTGATGTTCAATGGATTCCCAGAGTATATCTGTACTCTATGTTGCTTGTGCTGATATTTCGTGTTGCAATTCGGGAGAGCTACCATAAGTGGTGGTTGCGGGTCGGCAAGCACTTTACTGGAAGTTAAGCGTCTCTTACGAGCCAACATACTGCAATGTGGATTGCTAGTTTGAATCTGTGAATTTGACTGGGTCCAGGCAAAAGTAAGGCTACGTCTTTAATCTGTCTTGCATTCCGTTAGCGATTTGGTTTTTAGAAGTTTAGTTCTTTAATAACCCGCTTGCTAAATAGCCCGATCTTTTACAAGATAGCTGCACCTTACGAATATGATTACTGGTTTTCAGCTATATCCGTGTCGGTACATACAAATGTATGTCTTGCTCCATCTGCAAATAATAAAATCAATATTAACTCGTAGAAATTTAAGCAAGGAATAGAATACATAAAGTAGACATTTGTATACCTCTCATTTGTCGAGTGAGGGAGTACATTGTATTTGTTAAAAATAATATAAAAATTCGAACAAATTTTTTCCGACCCAATAAAAATTGAAATTAAAACAAGAAAGGAAAGCTAACTTAGGGCGGAGCCGAAGTTTATATATCCTTGCAGAATATTCTGCAAATTATATTCTCCACAATTATTCATATGATGTATTCTTAATACTCATAAAAAATCCCAACTTCCTAACATTAAAAACACAAAAGTTATGGCATTTCCAATCGTTCAGTTATATGGAAGCTATAGGATATAGTCGGCCGATCCTTATGAAATGTGTGCGCTAAAAATAAAACCCATAGAAAATCCCAACTTCCTAACTTTAAAAACACCAAAATGATGGCATTCCCGATCAATCAGTTATGTGGCGGCTATAGGATATAGTCGGCCGATTCTTTAGAAATTTGGTAGTTCGGATTGATAGAAAATCCCAACTTCCTAGCTTTAGAAACACCAAAGTTATAGCATTTGCAATCGTTCAGTTATATGACAGCTATACGATATTGTCGGCCGATCCTCATGAAATGTGGTAAGTCGGATTGATTCGCCAAAAATAAAACCCAAAGCCAAACGACTACAATTCGATTTCTATGTCTATATTACCAAAAACAGTGGAGTTATGTCTATTTTGCTATATGATATTGTTGTCCGATTTTGACAAAACTAAAAGCGTAATTCTGATATAGTAAAAAATTACTATATCTCAACGAAATATTTTGATAATTAGAAAAACAGAAAAATAAAATTTTGTTTCAAATTTTGATTTTTTGTAGTTCGATGCTCGATTTTAATTTAATTAAAACCGTACTTCCATAGTATTTAAACATTATCAACTTTTTGGGAACAAAAAAAAAAAAAACAAAGTTAACTTTAAAAAATTTTTTTGCGTAGCAAGGGACGGACGGAAATGTCTCTGCGTTGCAAGCTTTTGATAGAAATTATGCTACAGAATATTCTGTAAATTATATTGGTTGGCCAAAAATAAAACCCATAAAAATCCCAACTTCCTAACTTTAAAAACACAAAAGTTATTGCATTTCCTATCAATCAGTTATATGGCGGCTATAGGATACAGTCGACCGTTCCGACTTATATACTGCGTGCAAAGGAACGAAGAGTGTGTTCAAAGTTTCAATTCTATGTCTAGAGACTAGTTCGCGTAGAAACAGACAGATGGACAGACAGGCGGACAGACGGACATGCTTATATCAACTCAGGACGCGATCCTGATTGATTAGGAGATTATTCTTGAGAATATATATACTTTATAGGGTCGGAGATGTCTCCTTCACTGCGTTGTACACTTTTGACCAAAATTAAAATACCTCTGCAAGGGTATAAAAACGAAACAAAAATACTTTCCATTCCTTATTCCTGTAGCTGAATAAGAAACAATTCCATTCATTGAATTGACTATATCCTAAAATTAATTTTACAAATCAAATAAGAAAAAATAACTATGTCACTTTTAAGTTTTTTAGATATTTTCCTTAAGAAAAAGCCCCTTGTTTTTTAACAGAAAAAAATAAATGCCGATGCTTGCTCACCTCTTTAAAGTATGAATTACAAAAACTCATTTTCCCAAAAATAATTTAATAAAACAATAAACATCCACCTCCTAAAAAAACATACTTTAACAAAAATCGATTGTAAAATGTTATTTTCGGAAAAAAACATGAAGAGGTAGGCAAACATATGGTATTTTTATATTTTTTTTTTGAACTAACTATTTTAATGGTGTTATTTGGTCAAATAAGGTTTTTTTAGAGGTCCGGGTGGCATCAATTCTAATTACTAATTAAAAAAATAAACATTTTTAAACTTTTTTTGAGAAAAATATGATTATATTTAAAAATTTATTTTTCATAATTCAAAAAAGTGAGAAAACATTTTTGTGATTCCCAAAAAAAAATTTTAAGATTCTGGAGGTGGGCAATAAAATAATTGGTGGTCCAAAAATTAACATGTCAAACTTTATAAATTCAATTTAAGTCGACCTAGTGCTTCTTAGCACTGTTCACGCCGACAACTTTAAAAAATCTCGCCAATCGTGCTCGATCTATTTCCCACATAATTCGTATTTTTAAGTCATTCGCAAATCTACAATGTACGTTTTACATTTTAAGCGCTTTAGTAAATATAATAATTATTATTAATGCTTTGTGTATATATTTTTTATATACTATCGTTGCGAATCGCACATTAATATGTAACGTGCGTAATATGTAAGTTTCTAAAAACAATGAAGCTATGTATGTCGATTTGGGATGCATCGTTTCTATGACAACTATATGATATTGTTGCCCGGAATTGAAAAAACTAAAAGCGTAATGCTGATATAGTAAAAAATTACTTTATCTCAAAAAAACATTTAAATAAATATAAAAACAAAAAAATCATTTTTTTAATTTGTATTTTTTTTTAAAATTTTCCATTTTATATATATGTCCAATTTTAATTAAATTAAAACCGTAATTCCATAATATTTAAGTATTACCAAATCCCAAAGAACAGAAAAAAACGTTAAAAAACAAAGTTATACTTTTTATACCCTTGCAGAGCATATTCTAATTTCGGTCAAAAGTTTGGAGTGAAGGAGACATTTCCGACCCTATAAAATATATATATGTATTATTAATCAGCATCAGCAGGAGAGTCGATCTAGCCATGTCCGTCTGTCAGTACACCCGTCCGTTCCTACGCAAACTTGTCACTCAGTTTTAAAGCTATCTGCTTGAAACTTTCCCAAAAGTTGTCTTCCTATTGCAGGTAGAATATAAGTCGGACTGACCAGATCGGGCCCCTGTATTACATAGCTCCTATAGCAACAATCGGAAAAGTATAGTACATTTTATAGATAAAAGGAGCTAACTTGAAAGTTTTAACAAATAAATATTAACAGGCATTCGCCTGGTTATTCTGATCAAGAATATATACATATTCAGTACAGGGTTAGAAATGACTTATTCACTGCGTTTAAAACTTTTAGCCAACATTTAAATACACTTTACATAAATATAAACATATTTGATAGGGCAGACAGTTTCTAAGTAGCAATTTGCCATCGATTAAAAACAGTTTATCAAGTATTTTTTTATACATATACGGATGCATACATATGTATGTATACACCGAAAGAGAGACGTTTTCTGTATACATACACAGTGACGACACTGTCTTCAGTGGAGACGGAGTCAACTCTATATGTGTACACAGATTTGACCACATTGGAGAAATTAATAACTTTGAGCTACTTTAAAGCAAATTAGTGGAGCAGTCCGTAACAAGATTGTTTACAGACATATTCGTCAAGAAAATAAAAGACAAGCAAATATAAACACAATAGCACCTTGAATTTCCAAGTAAATTTTCAGTTACATTTTTCACTTGGCGTTTAAAATAAGCGCCGAACAGGTTTGCGTCTAAAGAAAGATACTCGAAAACAACTCATTTTATTGGCAATTTTTTATAATTGGATTACATACAATAAATATATACATAAATATTGTATTTCTAGAGCTATTATAAAAAAACTTCTCAGTAGTGTGACCGCGGTTGGAGTTTAGGTAATCCGGCTCACGACAGTAAAAATAAATATACTATTTAATGCCAAAAAATACCATAATAAGGCGTATGGGAGTAGTAATATTTAGCAGAGGCACTTACCTCATAGGTGAAGTTGTTGAAACGTAGTACTCAGATCGCAAATCGAGTTCGCCATCGGAAAAACTTTAATCTTTCCAGTGTGACTGCATTTTTGAGTTCTCATCAGTATTGAGCGTGCTATGGTTGTACCGTCAACCAGCTGGCAGTAAAAATTCAAAAATCTTATTAGCGGGAGAGAGCCTTTAAAATACATGTCTGCCGCTATACAGAGAAATTTTATAATAACATAATTTAAATTTAATAAGATTTGTTTTTTTAAGCCTAGTACTAAGATCGACAAAAACTATCCGCCAATCATGAAGGAGAGCGAGAGGCAAACAGCTGGCGCTCACTTTCCGTCAACGTTTTTTTTCACCTCGGTCCTCAGATCGACGAAAAAAATACCAGAAAATTGCATAGCATTGCCAGTCTGCGAAAATGAACTTTGGGTGAACCCTAGCGAAAAGATTAAAGCCTAGTACTCAGATCGACAAACGAGTACGCTAGCGTAAAAACTTTAATCTTTCCAGTGTGACCAAAATATCGAGAGTTCATCAGAATAAAGCGTGCCACGGTCGTACTGTCAATCAGCTGGGTTTGTTCACAAGCAGTTAAATTTCAAATATCGTATTTGCGGGAAAGAGCCTTTAAAAGATATTATCAACTACCTTGGCAAAACAAGTCTGCCGCTGTACAAAGAAATTAAAAAACAATACAACTTAAATTGAACAGTTTTTTTTTTTATTTACTGATAACTATTTGCTAATTTAAAGTTTATATCGGCACTTTTATTGTGTTTTTTGTATATTCTTGGTTTAAAAAACATTTTGCTCTGACAAGAGGCACCCCAGATGGTATTAATGTTATTTTGTCCTTACATGTAAACTTCTGCAATCGACTTTTGCGAATTTTGTAAGTTTTTCCTTCCATTTCTTAAAATGTTCAGTGAGAAGCGCACGCCAAAAGATTATTTCAATCTTTTCGCTAGGGTTCACCCAAAGTTCATTTCCGCAGACTGGCAACGCTATGCAATTTTCTGGTATTTTTTTCATCGATCTGCGGAGCGAGGTGAAAAAAAACATTGACGAAAAGTGAACGCCAGCTTTTTGCCTCTCGCTCTCTCTCATGACTGGCGTACAGTTTTCGTCGATGTGAGTACTAGGCTTAAATAATTTAATCTTTTGGCGTGCGCTTCTCACTGAACATTTTATAAAATGGAGGGAAAAACTCAAAAAACTCGCAAAAGTCGATTGCAGGAGTTTACATGTGAGGACAAAATAACATTAATACTATCTGGGGTGCCTCTTGTCAGAGCAAAATGTTTTTTAGGTCAAGAATGTAAAAAAACACAATAAAAGTGCAGCTATGAACTTTAAATTAGCAAATAATTATCAGTATATTAAAAGAAAACAACTGGTAAATTTAAATTGTATTGTTTTTAAATATTTTTGTACTACGATATTTAAATTTCAACTGCTTGTCAACAAACCCAGCTGATTGACAGTATGAACTCGTTTGTCGATCTGAGTACCAGGCTTTACTGATAATTATTTGTTAATTTAAAGTTCATAGCTGCACAAAGTTCTTGCAGACGATTTTTCGAACTTTCTAGTTGTGTTTTTCCGCCCATTTTTGACCTAAGAAACACTTGGTTTTGACAACAGACAATTCAAAAGATTTAAATTATTTGCCTCTCGCTCTCCCTCTTAGCTAAATCTAGGGCTTGGAGTAAACTTTCGGACCAAAGAGTGTTTGGTTTTTTTAACAAAGGATGACTTATAATGTTGCTAGTTGTGTGAACTACAACCTTTACCCCATATAAAAAAGTCGATAACCATAACAAATTGAACTTATTATCGATAGGAAATTCGCGGCTGTATATTATTGTTTCGTCCCGCAAAAAAAACCCAGTGAGAATACCATATATGCTGCAACTGATTGGCAGGTGTAAATGGCCTTTTTGCGGCGATTTTCGTGTCGATTGTCCCATCGAAATAAAGATTTACTCTATCTAATTGGTTGTTCTAACTGAGCGAAACGCTTATTAAAAACATAAAAGAACAATTTGGTTATCAGGATGGCGTTTGCCAATATAGCGAGGCGCTCCTGGGCCCCCGGGTTATCCCACTTGATGTTGCGGCAGCAGTTTTTAGCAGGATCGAGCACATTAAAGTAAAGATTTTCTGCTTACATAATGCGAAAATATACCAATTTATTTTGTTTTGAACACTCTCTCCAAATACGCGATTTCCAGTACGCATCAAAGTCGGCGCAGTGCTGCAAAATGGTATCCTGACCCAGAATTCATGAAGCAGTTCAGCGGTCCGGTGATGTATCCAGATGAGGTTACATCGCTCTGGAAGGTGCCTCCATGGAACAGTTAGTTGGTAATGCAATCTGCTTGGCACTTGAGCTAATGCATCAATTTTCGTATTGCTAGGCAAGGTTACGCCTGTCGAGAAATCCGTGCGCAACCTGACCCTGAATTTCGGCCCGCAACATCCCGCTGCCCACGGAGTACTGCGTCTGGTTCTGGAGCTAGATGGAGAGGTTAAAGCCTTTAGTCGCAGATCAATTAGCTAGATCTAAATCCCATTATCCGTTTCTGCAGACTGTGATGCGTGCGGATCCACACATCGGACTGCTGCACCGAGGCACCGAGAAGCTCATCGAGTACAAAACGTACACGCAGGCGTTGCCTTATTTCGACCGGCTGGATTACGTCTCCATGATGTGCAATGAGCAGTGCTACTCGCTGGCTGTGGAGAAGCTCCTTAACATCGAGGTGCCACTCCGAGCCAAGTATATTAGAAGTAAGTAGACCTCGTCGAAATTCTGTAGAGCGCTGCACAAGTGGAATCAAAGTCACTTTAAAATTGGTAAAATGACAGCTTTATTTTGATTTGTTCCACGAGACGTTCTGATAGGGGACATAGTTCAATTGCAGCATCAGGGCTGCATAATGTTATCTCTGATGGAAACTAATCCTTGCAAATTGTCTGATCCCTAATTCTTAAAACACCGACTGCTCTTAAGTGATTGAGAAAACATACCTTACCGACGATTGCACGCTCAAAAAGAACATAGCATAGGAATATTTTCCTTTTTATAATGCTATCTTACCAATAACAAAATTTGATAAATAAATTTTGCATCAAAATGAGAATAAAAATGAGAGCGCAAAAAACCAGAACGCACACGAAGCGTCCGAGGCCTACTGCTAAGAGTCATGAGGCCCGTCGCTAAGAAATTTTTTTGTCCATTTTTGTAGTACGAAATGACCAGTCTATATGTTGTATGGTTAGTGGTAGGGATAACTAGAATCTGCATGCTAAATCAAAAATCTCTAGCTCTTTTAGCTTCCGAGATCTTGACGTTTATACGGACGGACAGACATACTGACAATTGATCATAATCAAGAAGTTGTATATTTATAGGGTCGCTTCCTTCTATCTCTTGTATGAATACAGTTTTTACCCTTTTCCCCTACGTGTAGCCTTTTCTCCCGTCTTAGAATGTATGTAAGCCCATTTTTTCAGTTAAAATTTCATATTACAGCTAAAATAGTAAAATTAATTTCTGCAGACATTTTTAAGTTTAAGTAAATAATAGTTCTTTAAGAACTTTCAATATTTTTTGCCATGTTCTTTCTTTGGTTCTTATATTGATCGAATACGAAACTAATTGTTCCCCTTGGTCGCTCCCTCACTGTGGATGTGCATTAATAAAATTGCCACCATTATACATTTTAAAAATATTCTCGATCCAATTTGACAGATATGTTTAAGTTTCTTTTTATACCTTTGCAGAGAGTTTTATAATTTTTGTCAAAAGTGTTGGGATTTTTTATGTGTTTTATTTTTGGCCAATCCGACCTACTAAATTTCATAAGGACCGGCCGACTATATTCTATAGCTGCCATATAACTGAACGATTGAAAATGACATAACTTTGGTGTTTTTAAAGTTAGGAAGTTGGGATTTTTTATAAGTATTAAGAATGCATCATATGAATAATTTTGGAGAATATAATTTACAGAATATTCTGCAAGGGTATATCAACTTCGGCTCTGCCCGAGGTTAGCTTTCCTTTCTTTTTTTTTTTAAGAGATTTTACTATTTTTACCTGTAATTGTCTTAATTCTGTATTAAAAAACAATTAGAGTTGGGACCGTATTTTTGGAGGTAGTGCAAAGTATATCCAAGTATTCAGATCGATGAAATCCCTTCGTCAGCTATGAGAGAGAGCGAAAGGCAAACTGGTGGCGACTTCTTTTCGTCAGTCCTTTTTATACCCTTGCAGAGGGTATTATAATTTTGGTCAATAGTGTGCAACGCAGTGAAGGAGACATCTCCGACCCTATAAAGTACATATATTCTTGATCAGGATCGCGTCCTGAGTTAATATAAGCATATCCCGCTGGCAAACTCGTTTTTCGATCTAAGTACTAGTACTCATATAAAAGGATACATTTAAATAGATGATACATAGAAATTCGTTTTTTTTGTTGGCACTTTAAGACTTCATGTTAATAACATAATATTTTACCAAATCTCAAAGAACAAAAAAAATGAAAAGCAACAAAGTTATAATTTATTTGCATTCTTTTTTCCAAATGTTCCTATGGGAGCTATATGATATAGTTGCCCGATAGGGCTCGTTCCGACTTATACTACGACTACTACCTGCAACAGAAATACAACTTTTGGGAAAGTTTCAAGCAGATAGCTTTAAAACTGAGGGACTAGTTTGCGTAGAAACGGACGGACGGACGGATAGACAGACGGACGGACGGACAGACGGACAGACGGACGGACGGACAGACGGACGGACGGACAGACGGACGGACGGACAGACGGACGGACGGACAGACGGACGGACGGACAGACGGACGGACGGACAGACGGACGGACGGACAGACGGACATGGCTAGATCGAAGAATATATATACTTTATAGGGTCGATATTGTCTCCTTCACTGCTTTGCAAACTTTTGACTGAAATTAGTGCAAGGGTATAAAAATGTCAAATAAAAAAGCCAGCCGACTTCAGCAACCCATGGCCTCCTGGCCAGTCTTTCCAACCAAGTGGGAGGTATTATAAATTCTAGAGATTATCTGAGCAGGAGTGCTCAGCTCCCAATCCACATTTTGAGGTGGTAAAGCTGGGTCTTTGAGATTAGGATGAGTTTATGAGTCTGCGTGTATGAGTTATTCAACAATGATGTCACAAATGGACTTATCTTGGTCGTTAGCTACGTAGAATGATATGTGTGAGTAAGTTTAGATCGATTCTGACCGTTGGAAGGTGTGGAGGCATTTCAGAGACTCAGTGAGCTCCTTGTCGGTTGATGTGTTGCCGGTATTCTCCTTTGAGTAAGGTTTTTTGTCACTTAGATGTTCGTAGGATACACAGGCTGCTAATTCATCCGCTGCTATCTTGTCCGCATGGTAGATGAGTAGTCGCACTTTATAGAGTTCAGTTGAGTCGGCAGGTGTTCTAAGCTATTCTCGTTAAGGACAATTACGATGTTCATGGTGCAACGCTCAACCTTCTTTTTGACTTGGTCCCGGTCATATTCCGATAGTAAACCTCATTCCATTAAGCCATTCCTATAATTCTTAATAAATGCGCTTAAATATTTCTTTCTGTATTATGTGCTGAATGCAGCGTTGTTTGCCGAGATTACCCGGATTTTGAACCACATAATGGCTGTTGGCACGCACGCTCTGGACGTTGGTGCATTAACGCCATTTTTTTGGCTATTCGAAGAGCGCGAGAAAATGATGGAATTCTATGAGCGAGTTTCTGGTGCTAGAATGCATGCTGCTTATATCCGACCTGGTGGCGTGTCATTGGTAATTCTTTCGCACACATTTGTAAAAGCTAATTATTGACCTACGCCTTTTTGCAGGACTTGCCTCTTGGCCTAATGGACGATATCTATGAGTTTGCATCAAAGTTTGCCGAGCGTTTGGACGAAGTGGAGGATGTGTTAACCACGAACCGAATCTGGGTGCAGCGAACCGAGGATATTGGTATTGTAACGGCAGAAGAGGCTCTGAACTATGGTTTTAGCGGCGTCATGTTGCGTGGCTCCGGTATAAAGTGGGACCTCCGCAAACAGCAGCCGTATGATGCCTACCACCTGGTAGACTTTGATGTTCCCATCGGCACTAAAGGTGACTGCTATGACCGATATCTTTGTCGTATCGAGGAAATGCGTCAGTCTTTGCGAATAATTGATCAGTGCCTTAACGATATGCCTGCTGGAGAAATTAAAACAGACGATGCCAAGGTGGCGCCACCGACGCGTTCCGAAATGAAAACATCCATGGAAGCTCTAATTCACCACTTTAAGTTATTTACCCAAGGCTATCAAGTTCCACCTGGGGCAACGTACACGGCAATTGAAGCTCCAAAAGGCGAGTTTGGGGTTTACCTTATATCAGATGGATCGAGCCGCCCATATCGCTGCAAAATTAAGGCGCCAGGGTTTGCTCACTTGGCAGCTTTAGAAAAGATTGGAAAGCAGCACATGTTGGCCGATGTAGTGGCCATTATCGGTACATTGGATGTAGTATTTGGGGAGATAGATCGATAAATTTTTATTTCGAGTTGTGTACCATTCTGTCTAAGAAAATGCTTATGAATATTAAAAATCATGAATACGTTCGGAACCAGATTTCTTTGTACCTATCATGTTTATATTTCATTGTTGGCGATGCTAACAAAAAAATAATTTGTAATATTCGGTCCGCACTAAAATTAAATTTATTTGAGGCAAACACAGAAAAAAGCATCGTTTTTAAAATCACTAATAAATATGGTTAAAGTATGCATTAATATATTTTGAATCCGGGAACCCAAATAAATGTCGAACAAGATGTTTTGTTGGCACTTTCTTTTTCCCATTTTCCCCAAGTTGCATCACTGGCAAAATCACAAGAGAGCGCAGCACAGGGACGCCTTTATACAGATTCTTACTTAATACTCTTGATGCAATATCCGGCTCATAACTTTACATGCCCACTCTAAAATCTCCGCAGAAGGTTTAAAATTATCGCTGTTGACTGTTGACTGCAAAGCCGCTCTCGCGGCATTGATTATTAGTTTTTCAATTGTCGATCGAAAGTGCAGTCAAATCCCGTAAATACTTATTGCTGCACGGCTCGCTCTCATTGACCCGTAGACCCACTTAAAAGCGTACTTTTAAGCCTGCCGTCTTTCTCCATCCTCATGTCAGTCCTCGGCAGCGTTTACCTAAGTTCCACAATATCGGAGCCCAACCTGCAAACTGTTGCCATAAGTTTGGTCATAGGGATTGCGAGAATTTCGCTTGGTGCTGTCACCGCCTTTCTTGGTCGGCTGAGGTCTATTTGGCTCTGTAGGTAGCCGCTTCCTCATTGCTGACTCAAACATGCAGATTGCTAGTGGCGGACCCACTCATTTAAATGATAAATGACCACCTCCCGATGGCCATTGATTTTGCAGTGTATATCAAAGAGCCCTGGGCTTTCCTCTGATCATATTCCGCTCCTGATATATTTTTGCGTGGCCTCGTTACCAAATCCAGGCTTTTTCCTCGGGGTTCGGATCTAACAAGTTTAAGTGCGCAACTCACTGCTCTGACTCTGCTCTGCCCCTTCTCCTCTTTCTGAATTTTTTATTGACAAGCTCAGTGCAATTGATCCTAACCAGAATCACGTACTTGCGCTGTGGAAATGCACAGGCAACCTTAAAAGACAGCCGCTTCAGAGGTTTTCCCTTAATCGTAGCGTTGGCACTTTCTTTAGAAATAATTTCTCAATACACAAAAAAAACGGTCCATTCTTGTGTGGCGTGTTCACCAAAAAAAAAAAAATTGTAATTGGTAGAGCTTTGGCAGAAGTTCGGACGGAACTAATGAAACCTCTGGATTTGTAGTCTATTCTTTAAATTAAATTACCGAAGAGATAAGATTAGTGTCGTAACTGTATCTGAAAAAGTTAAAAAACATTTAAAAGAAATTAAAAGTGCTGGAGAGTAATATTTATTTATTTACTTGGCAAACAATAAACCATTTGAAGTATTTAAAACTTGTAATTCCTGCCCGTAATTAATAATAATAATAAATAATCATTATTTATTATCTCTGTTGTGGACGTTGTGGTGGATTGGTGTCGGGTCAGCACAGGAACATTCCGCCCTTGAAATCGCCAGCGTTGGAAAATATAATATCCGTTGGTTGCAGGAGCCGGAGATTATCCACCCGATCACGGCGATCGGTAATTTTTCGTCGACCATGACAAATTCCGGCTGGATCACAACTCATCCGCAAGCTAAATAAACTTAAATTTGGCACGGCTGGCGTCGCTGAGAGCCCTAATCGGTGTGCGGATACGTATATTGTGTTTGATTTTGAGGACCACCTTCAATTGAGTCGTACAGACTTTGGACTAAATCGTTTCTGTGCACACCTTTTCGTCCCCAATTACTGGCCGTTGGCAATCGAAAGGAGGCGGCCATAGAAGCATTGATGGGTCGATAAGCGCTGCGGTATCGATGTTCTTGACACCGGTATTCACGGCAACCAAGGAGTCCAGAAGGACGTTGATGCTGTGACGTTGTAGCAGCGAAGAGGGCGTTGGAGCGGGCGAAGAAGATGCTGAGCACTGTAAAGAAGCAAGCTAACGCGCCGGCATATTTAGAATTGTGTGGACTAAGACAGTATTAAGTAGTTATACGTGGGAAGCTTTCTTGGAGAAGATTGAAATATTCCACTGGCAGAAGGACGAATTTGAATCGGATGTCTACTATTCGGACGCTGCCATCGGCTCCTGGGAAGACAAAAACAATTCTGCCGAGCCGCTATTCGTTGGACGTCAGATTCTCGTCCTTTAAGATTCTTCCCTTTAGTATGAGACACTCGCTATCGGTATATTTTTGTAAGTGGAGTAAGCCGGCGAATGTGAAATGCCGTGAGAACGAAGCTCGTATCTTCGGCCATCAGCTGCGTTCGAGCCATTTCTTGTGGATAGGAGTTTACTGCTGCTTTTTTTTTGAAATTCAGTATCTTGCCCACACGAGACGTACAATCAACTGGTTACCGCCATGAAGGGTTATGCGATGCGTGAACTGAGCAAGAAGTTGAGACATTAAACAGCTATATGGAATAATTCATTCAAGGGAGAATTCTCTGCGCTGAATAAGGAGTCGTTCGGTGGCGGAAATCTTCGTAGATAGCATGTGCACATCAGGTGGTGAAATTTATTTTTTTTGCATTGCTAGATGAGCGATGGACAGAAGTAAGCACCCGGGTGCTTTCAATCCTTTAGACATAATTTAACACCATAAGTACATCAACATAAGTATGATATAAGTACATAAGATAAGTATGAGAATGACTTATAACCGAGAGAAGGTCGTTAAAAAATAATGTAAAAAGAAGACCAAGATGGCTCTGTTGCGTGACACCGGAGGTAACAAAAAAAAATGTAAGAAAGAGAATTTTTAAAAAAGACTCATTGACTGTCAGTCCGATAACTTAATATCAATAAAAGGAGATCAACTGGCAACCATAACTGATTTACAGAGTCAGAGTTTACTAAAGTCAGTGTAAATGACGTTTGTTGGAGACCTACTTTTAAAGCCCTATATCGCAAATACGTTTAATAAATCCGTGGCGGCACGGAGATGAGGAGTAATCATTTCTTGGAAAAGCTAAGGGAACTACTGGTATATTTACTATCTTCTTAGTATTGTTAACTATCTTGTGAAAAGAAATTATTCCTTCAAAATATGGGGAAATAATAATACCCATAAAAAATCCCAACTTCCTAACATTAAAAACACCAAAGTTATGGCATTTCTAATCGTTCAGTTATATGGCAGCTATATAAATTCGGCCGATCCTCATGAAATTCGGTAGGTCGGATTGATAGGCTAAAAATAAAATCCAAACTTCCTAACTTTACAAACACCAACGTTATGGGATTTCCGATCAATCAGTTATATGGCGGCTATGGCAATTGGAAGTGCCATACCTTTGGTGTTTTTAAAAAGGGGAAGTTGAGATTTTTTATAAGTATTAAGAATGCATCATATGAATAATTTTGTAGAATATAATTTACAGAATATTATGCAAGAGTATATCAACTTCGGCTCCGCCCGAAGTTAGCTTTCCTTTGTTGTTATACCCTTGCAGAGGGTATTCTAAAAAGTATATTCTATAAAGTATATATATTCTTGATCAGCATCACCAGGAGAGTCGATCTAGCCATGTCCGTCTGTCCGTCTGTCCGTCCATCCGTTTCTACGCAAACTAGTCCCTCAGTTTTAAAGCTATCTACTTGAAACTTTCCCAAAAGTTGTCTTTCTATTGCAGGCAGTATATAAGTTGGAACGAGCCGAATCGGGCGATTATATCAGTCAGTTTCCTTTCTTGTTTATTATTGAATTACGATTTTAATTAAATTAAAATCGGACAACAATATCATATAGCTGACATACCTTCATTGTTTTTAGTAATATAGGCATAGAAATCGAAATGTAGTCGATTTGTAATAACTGCAAGGGTATATAAACTTCGGCTGGCTGAGGTCTACTTCCTTTCCTGTTAAGTGTGCAAACTCTTAGCTAAACTAAGGAAATTTATTGGAGATTGACGGATAGTACCAGGAATTTCAAAATGATTTTATTGTGTTAAAAACATTAAGGGCATCGGTCAGTAGAGCCATCTGTCAAATAAAGCCACTAATAAATTATTGAGCCTCAAAAAGACTGACTTGCGAAAACAATGTACTCCTTTAGTTGAATTCTCGGATTTGTTCTTCTATTACAATACCCGTGTCGATTGTTACTTCGATAGTAGGATGATATGGATCGTTGATTGCGTAAATGGTGCTACCGTGGACAGAAACACACCTTCAGGATGTGGTACAATATCCAAGTCAAATAGGCGAGCTAGTAAATTTGGAACAAAAAGAATTCGCCAGATGTGGCTTTCCAACGTACTCCCAGTTGCAACTTGTTGAAGGACTTGAATGGCCAAGAACGGAGCGTAATTTCCCATTTCAACTCAAATTCACGGGAGCCTCGTACAAGGCGTGTGCCTCGGATGTACCCAGATTCGGAAGTTGATGCACTATGATCAGCGCAAACAAGTGGCCCTTACGACACCAAGCAGTGCTTGTTACGCGCGGAGCCTAATAGGCGTAAAAACGAGATCGCGAGAAGTTAAAAAGCACAATGTAGAAGCGGACAGACTAAGGTTAGAAATACGTACGAGACTAATACTAATACTAATTTTGTGCTAAGTAAGATAAAATTAATGATTTTAGGCTTGGCAAAGAGTCGGTAGTAGAAATAATATGGTATAGTCTATTATAGTCGTTACACAGTACTCTAAACGGTTCATGCATATCAAAGTTAGATCTACAAATATTTAATGTAAGAGGAACATGTTCCTGGTAATTCTATTAGGCACGGAGAAGCTTATGCGACCCAGTAACTCGGGACTCTCCACATCCCCGTGCATAAGTTTATAGATAAAAGTTGTACCAAGCATCGTTCTACGGTTTACTAAGGATGGTAGATTAATTAGGAGAAGTCTACTAGAGTAGGATGGTAAAATAAGGCTTGAATTCCATTTAAGGCCCCGTAGAGCAAATAATAAAAAGTTCTTTTGCACAGACTCTATCCGGTCTATATGTACACCATACTGAGGACTCCAAACTGCTGAACAGTACTCCAGGATTGGACGGACTAGTGAAATGAACAAAATCTTTGTAACATAGGGATCATCGAATTCCTTTGACCACCTTTTAATAAATCCAAGTACTCCCCTGGCTTTATTCACCATAGAAGTAATATGGTCACAAAACTTAAGTTTTGGGTCAAGGAGGAC